ACTTAATAATTATTAACGATTCATTTTTAGTAAACATCAACATATTCGTTTACATTTTATGACGAATGGTATACCATTAAAAAATAATAAGAGAAAATTTTACTCCGAGGGTAACCTACCTTCAGACTATAATTCGGTAAAGGCGAGGAATTAATTATCTTCAACAAATATATTATCTACAAACGAAAAACGGTGAGACAATGTATGAAGTACGCAATGTCCCACAGTTTTTCGTTTATGCACGTTACATTTCACATAATCGTTTCGTAGAGCTCAACTATTTTTGTAAGACTTCTAAGTGTTATGTTTTTATGTTGACTACAACTTAGATAAACATTGTTATATGACTATGTTCACTGAACTTTGAGATAGCGCCATTTAAAGCGCGTCTTGTATTTAATATTTACTTTGCCACGGGCAAACTAGCGTCCACAGGGGGAAGGGGATTGTTAGTAATGTGGATTGATAACCCCATTGCTAGTATTGTACCATGTCAGGTCGGCCTCCATGCGATTCCCCTTGGAAACCATTGTGTTAAATTCATGGTGAATTTGTCACAATGGGCTAACTGATTTGACCTCATGCACATCTTATCCTCCACTGGTGCCCCGTCAGCGTAAACGGTTAGCGCAGGCGGGTGCACCATTCCATTATCAACCCTCAAAAAAAAAAAATAGCGTCCACACGGTATATCAACTTGAGCTCGACACGGGCAGTTCAATCGAGCTTAATTCTACAGCAGAACAAATATAAGTAACAGTAGAAATTCTTTGCATATTTGATTTTGCACTACTTTACTTTACTTGCTTGCTTTTTTAAAATGGTCAGATGTTGCATTCCTTGTCTTAGACAACATAATTATAAACCTTAACAAAAACCTTTTGTGCTTGCATCCTTGAATGCTATTGGTGGACAAAAGTAAGAGTAGTGTTGAATATAGCACAGAAAAATGATCCTTAAGTGGGTCAGGCGTCCCTTTTGCCGATAGTACAAGCGTACAGCCTAACATATGGCAGCAGGGCCTACCCTGCTACCGTATTATATTTAGTAATGTGCTACACTTTGTATATGAAATATTATAGTAAGTAAATCTACTTACTAACATTAATTTGCAATAATCCATCCATACAAAGAGTAATCACGTGTGAGGCATAGCTTTGTATGGCATGTGGCGAGTATTAGGTGTGCAGGAGTATGCAGGAGCGCATGGAAAGAGTGATATTGAATTCACGATGAGATTAATGACCGCATAGTTGTAGCATACGTTTGTTTTCAGATAACATTAAATTAGTTAAAAAAAATATGTTCAAAGTATTACATTTAATCAGAAACTGATTCCTTTGGCTTAATATACCCTTTGCATTACAGCTTGTATTTAACATATTATTAGCCAAATCCTGTTGAAAAAAAACAACAGAGCCTTCTCAAAATATGCAGGTACAAAATATGGTTTTAGTGGCCATGTATCTGTGCCAACTCGGAGATCAATAAAGTTGTGTTCGCATCTGCGCTGGAGCAGGTGCGTACGCTCACCACCTGTTCACTGTTTTTTCTGCATCTCTTATATCCGTACACTTGCGGGCGGGTACCGTACTATATAAAATATTTAATGACGGAAGAAACTATAAATTTACATTAAATATGCAATTGTGATTTTTATATTTTATTGGCGGCAACAGGTGGAACTTTCAATTGCAGGTTTGGTTTTAAGATAATAACAGTTAAAATTTTTGAAATTATCCAGTTTTGTGTTTGAATTTTTGATTATACAAATTGTAGTAGCAGTGGTGCATAAATGAATATACCAATTTCAATGCAGTTGAATGAAATCGATCGTGAAACATTTTACCATAAGGCACCATTAGCAAATGATTTGATACTATTTTTAAAATAAAACTACAACATTCATATATGCCATATACGAATGTTGTAGTTTTATTTTATTTGTGTATAGGCAAAATGAAAAAGACTAGATATATGGAGAAAACATATTCAGAAAGTATTGACTTGTAAGAATGAAAGTATAAACAAGAATGTACAATCAAAGAACTTTAAATTTAAATACAAATTTAGAATAATAAAATACATTTTTTATTAGCCAGTTACAACAATGAATAACTACGATAAGTAATTAATTAATTATACTGTCACGAGTTTATTTTTTTTAATTACTTAAACTTAATAAGGACATGTTAGAAGTTCACTTACAGAAAAAAATTACCACAAAAGTAACTTGAATCAATTGTTATTTTGTATTATGATTATTTACGACGTATAGAATGACTTAACGTTTACTAGCATTAGTTAACGACTAAAAGTGATGTCACTGTAATATCACAACGGGAAAAGCATTACTATAGAATTAAATAAAATAAATATTACTTGTACCTTCTAACTCGTAACAGTATAAAGTTAGATACATAGAAATAGATTTAATTAGCTTACTTAATGGATTCCATATAGTTTACTTTAGATATTAACAAAAGAAATCTAATTTCAGATTTGTATATTTGTTACGATTATAAGTAAATAGGAAATAATTAAGATAAAAATAGATTTAAATTTAGCTTTGACGTATTCATTAGTGTGACAAAATGCATTATTTTAATGAATTCTTCTTAATTTAATAATTCAAAATTGTTAAATCGGGTACTTTTTCAGTTCTACTTACCTTATAGATTTTACTAGTAATTTTTTGGTCTAATAAATGTCTTTATTTCTTGTAGTATAATTATGCTTACCTCGATTTTGTTTTAGATTTTCCTTGTTTTCGTGTTTGTCTAATAATGAATGAAATATAATGAGTGACACCACCGTTATAATTTTATTAATGACAATATACTCGTATTTTCTGACGTCTATTGACTTTTGATATTAATTATGCGTAGTGATCATTTTTGTAGCTAAGAACTTGTAGATATATCAGCAGCATTTCCACATACTTCAATTATTGTATAGGTTAAGATTGAATGGATGTAAGCATAATATACTGATATTAAACTCTGTCGATTAAATAGAGGCTTTTTTTAATAAAACCCAGTTTGTTGGCCATTTCGCTAGAAACTTTTTTGATTTTTTGATCTTGTTCCTTATGGATGTGTTGTTTAGATAATGTCATAGAAATTTAGTTATTTTTTATTAACTGTTCTGTTATTCCTCTTGGTAGAGTATGTCATTAATACCTTTCTTTTTCTTTCTTCTTTTAACCATTCACCCAATGTTTTTACAATTTCATCTACTTTTAGATCAAATACAAATTATTGTAGTTTTGAATGTGTCATTTGGTAAATAGTTTGGCAAATAATGTATAGAAATAAGAAACAATATTGGACCGGAAATGACCTGTGGCTCTCCGATATTGATTTCACATTTTGAGGATTGTATACTAGTGTTTCCATTTCCGTTATTGTATTATACAACATTAAAAGACATATTTGTCGTTTATGTAATTAATATTAATTTCCGATAGTACCACAATCCTATTTTAAAAATTCAAAAACATGGCAACATCGGTAACGTCAAATTTGTCTACGAGATTAAAAAACAGACTATATTTCTTACGGGGCGAGGACTAATAAGTTATGTTAGACCAAAAGATTTGATCTATTGAGGTGATTTTTGTTTTCTTAAGTCTAAGATTGCGCTCACTAGATTGTTAGTAATGTGGGCTTAGGAAAAAAATAGCAATAATGTTCCCATTATTAATAAACCTCTCCAGCAGGCACTTGTCTCCGTTACTAATAATCCCCTACCTCCACCGTATTAACCGGAAAAGATCTACCCCCGAGTAGTGGAAACTGGGGTTAGGGTGCGGTTACAATGATACAAAACTAGGACGAAATAAAATAGGTCACTGTGCTAGGTCATTTATCAGTTAAGAAAGTTTATTTAATTGCACTTATTGATAATTTTCATGTACTTTTAAAAATATCAGAGACATAAGAGGTACTTTAGCCACTTTAATTATATTTAGGTATAAGTATGTACATATATAATATAAAAAAAAATATATAGAATAAATTTTACAAAATGCTCTAGATGATATAAAACTAATGAATCAAACTGATACAAAATTACAGTTTAGGACAAAACTAACATAAAATTAATTTTATGTTATGTAACTTACATAATACAAAATTTATTTTATGTTAGTTTTCGGAATGAAATAATTAAATGAATTCGAAGTATATTTTAATTTAATAGCATAGAAAACTATAAAGTACAGATATTATAATATTAAGCCTACTGGCATTATAATATTAAGCATACTACTAACAATAGCCTAATTGATGTTAAGTGATGGAATGTCGCCTACTCTGTAAAAGTTTTTGTCTGTGTCGTGTGAAATTTAGATACATATACATATAAGTATAGATACAGCCTTATTTTTAGTAGGTCTCGCTAATGTAAAATACTTATATATCAAATAATATTGAAGTACTATAGAGTAGGACTATAATAATTCGACGATTGTCATGCCATTTTCATTTTAATAATTTCGTCTTAAGTTTGTAATTGTAATAAATCCTCTTCTAACACCCTGCCGAGGCTCGTTTCCTGGGTGCGGGTGGTTGATTCGTGTCGGTCGACGTCCGAGCATTGCGTGTGTGCGTGGCAGCGGGGGCGTAAGGCTGAGTGTGTGCCCACTACCGCATGCCGGTAGTAGCGGCGACGGCGGGCCTGCTCGGGCAGCCTGCCACATGGGGTATGTTCGTAGTCCGTACTGTACTACACCGAGGGGACTCGCACGCACACATCCGCACCCCTGTTCATCTCGTCTTTCTGGAATCAAACAACACAACGCGCGGCGCACACGTGCACAATCTACAAAACGCGGTTGCCTGCCGCTTGTCTACTCGCCTCCCCCCTGCTCTGTTCTATAGGCCGTGCAGGCGGTCGACTCCGTTTGCCACATTTTGTAATACTACTCGACTCAACTTTATACTAGTTGTATTTGAGTCTGCGTACGCGTTACGCGTGTCGTGAGCCGCCATCGCCTGCGCTCTTTGTCCAATGTAATTTCTAAATGAATTGTCGTATACGTAAACAAAGTTTTCAAATAAGTGAACGGGCGAGGCCACCACGGTGCATTATACATGTACTGTTGCACCTTACAGCGCAAACTCCACACGCAATGGAATAACAAACTCCTCACTCATTCAAGTACCTAGTGTGGTATTTCTAATGTAAGAAAACCTATTTACAAATTAACATCCTTTTCCGCAATTTGTTTTGCTGACCATGACCAATGCGCCGTGTTAAAATATCAATGAGGTATACCGACCTTTTGACATACTTTACTAATAATTTTATAATGTGAGGTCTAACCATTACACTAGTGCGTGAGTGAGTCATAACATAACCAAGTTGCAATGTAAACGAAATAATGGAATTGCAACTGAATGAAACGGGTAAATGGCATCGCAGTGGATTCCTGTCAACCCTTAATAGAAGTTTCCGTCTACCGAATGCGAAGTCTAGAAGCGTAAATAGTTCGCCTGTTGCAAGCAAATCCTCGTTAGAACAAACTTTTAATATGAAGACGGTACGTATGAATTGTTAAGCAACTTCATTGAACCTAGTGTTTATTTATTGACTTTTATTTTAATCCTCACTTTTTTTTTATTGTTTACAGTTGAGTTTTTATCTCATTCTTCGTTTTTATTAATCTGTCTGATTATCTTTTATCATTCGTTCCTTTATTTACTATTTATATTAATTACTACTACATACCGCTGTCACAGCCTAAAAGGTTCTTAATGTTATACTTACACGATGATGATATAATGTACTTACCTAGGTTTATTTGGTTACATGTAAGTAAGTACATATTAACTAGCTGTGCACCACTGTTTGGCCCGCAACTTAAAGTAAATGGCGGCTGGCCTGTCTTCGGCCTACTACATATTTTAAGTCATGTGTTGTCTGCACAAACAAACCCTTCGGCTTTATATATATCAATAAATATACGGGAAACTGCTACTAAAATATATCCATAGATTACTGTAATGTATAAATAATAATGATTTGTTTTAATTTATAAACTTCATTGTTTGAAGACAATGCATACCTTCCCTTTACCGATTATGTTTTGGGATGTAGACATGTGCACGTAGAAATGTAATTATTAATTCCACGCATATAGGGTCTGCCATTCATATTCATAACACATATCCTGGTCACTTTTATGGCATAAGATTAATTTCCTGGGGCTCATTAAGTGTACATATGTATATATTATACATAATAAATACAGATGAGACAGATTTACATAGCTTTACAATACATAATGTTACAATAAATACGTATTATTCAATTCACGACACAGTTTTGGCTCCAATTCCTCGGGTACACCGTTATACTTGATTATAAAAAAGTACATAATTTTGAGTCACCTTAAAATCATATCTGGAATACTGACAGATACCCCCGTTTTGTTAATAAAGCAATAAGCTTACTGTAACAATTCAAACACGAAATAATTTATTTACATAGATCCTTTTAGGCCCTTATCTACTTCATATTTTTAACACTATCCTTATCGTTTTACTACTTCTGTTGAGAACAATTGGTATGAACTTAAACTGTTACATTTTTTATGTTATTATCATTATTATGCCAGTCACTTAATTTGAATCGGAATTTTATCGTATATACTTAAGTCGATATGTATTTATTTTACTAAATAAAGTACCTATTATACAAACTTATATTTTGTACTTGTTGTGTCTGTAATTATAGAAACACCACAATGAATATTACAGCTACATTTTTTCCATAGTGAATTATTCGATTCAAAGATTTATTGTAAAATAATTAATAGTTTAATAATAATATATATATATAAAGTAATTGTAGGTATAGGTATACCTAAGTAAAATTAATATTTAATTAATGTTTTTATTATTCTATTTGTAAATTTATAAGTTATACATACATACATATCTACTAGTAATTTACGCGCTGTAACCCCGATGATATAGGTATATAGGCATGTGTTCGTCAGTCACATAGTGACAAATAAATAAACTATTTATGTATATAAATATATTCACCATTTTTTGTATTATAATTATGAAAAATAATTAAAACATAAGTTTAATTAGCATGCCCTTTACTCTGCTTCCCTCTTATAACAAAATTAGTGTAAAGATAACTGTACAATGTTCTATTTGTCTATTCCAGGGTTTAAATTCATCAAATGAAGCATCAAGTGGTTTGCGGCCGCTGGAGATAGTCGCGCCGCGTATCGACACCTACCGATTTTCGATGGCAAACCTAGAAGAAACACAAGACGCTGATCTGGACGCCATTCTCGGGGAATTGTGCGCCTTAGACTCGGAGTATGATGAAGAAATATCAAGAGTATCTGCTAGTGAGTATGCGTTTATTCAAATAATAAAAGAAAAAAATGGTGATTGTATTCGTCGAGTCTCCCATGTCTGCTCCTGCAATGGGTTTAACTAATACGTTTTGAATGGCGAAGGAATAAAGCAAAATTACAATTTTCTTGCGATTAATTGCAATAGTAACAATTTCGCTGTTTAATTGATCATTTAGAATAGAAATAAGGTTGTATACAAAATTTCGGCCAATTCATCTAGTAAATATTGCAAATATTAAATAAAATAGCTTTATTAAATAAAATAGCTTGGAGGAGTAACACCAGGTAATAAAATGGGTGTCGTTTTACAGGTTTTGCTTCAGTTTCAAAAGAGAGAGTCGAAGAGAGCACCGAGAGCTGTCCTCAGAGAACCGACTGCAGCAAAGAGTGCGGTGACGGCGCCCCCCTGACTCGCACCGACTCACCTGACAATGACTCCGCATTTAGTGATACTGTAAGTACCTACATTTAACAGAAATATGCTCACGACTCTCACTTGAGAGTGTGTTTGACTTAGTGGTACTACTAGTAATAAGAACTACTCCTCCTACTTACTCAAGAGGCCTAGAGAACAAATCGGACCAGTACCAAAAAAATATTATCTTTCAATTTAAACTGATTGAACAAAACACGGATATTAAACAAAAAAAATAATTCGTAAGACACTTTGCCGGCCGCCATTTGTGACGTAATTTCTGGATGACCCATAAAGCAGACTAACGGGTATGACGTTTGTTATTGTTAATGTATATTAAGTCATTGTAATGTGTTTCTAGGTATCCATGCTATCAAGTGAATCATCAGCATCCAGTAGTGCTAGTGCTAAATGTAAAGCGCTAAAATTAAATCTTCATGAAAATCAAAAGGTATAAATATTATTAATACCATACTTACATTTATGTAACTTTTAATTTTATGTGCAATGGTTATATGAATAATTCAGATTCTCATACAGATATTTAAATCGTATATATATGTAATATAAATTATAATTATGTAACAGTAGTCGTTACTGGCGACTTTGAATCTAAATGAAAGGTATCCTTGATCCCATGACACAATCTATCTCCACGTCAAATTTCATTACGAACCGCGTAGTAGTTTAGTCGGCGGACAGGAAAACTAATACATTACTATTTATTTCTTTAAGTATTTGCTTTCTAAGCTGTGTTTTGAAAGGTAAGAAAAACAGAATGTGGCCGTATTCTTATACGGCCGCATTTTAATCCTGCGGAATGACAACACATGAGTGGTATAACGCTTGTCACATTGTGTTTTTCATATATTACATGTACAAATATATCCTTGTACTTAGGGGACGATTACCACTCACCGTCAGGTTAGCTGGCAGCTTATTTCCATTCCTATTGCTTAAAAATTAACAAAAATCTTAATCTATAAACACGAAACGTGTGGAAGTATAGATATTTGTAACTCTCTCACGCAAAAACTACTGAACGGATTTTGTTGAAACTTTACTGTAATATAAGCTATTTTATAGTAAAGTATACAGCAGAATAACGTATAGGCTATATTTTTTTATTAAAATTTCTATATTGAAATTTACCGCGGGCGAAACCACGGGCTCAGCTAGTATTTAATACTGTTTGTAACAATAAAGTAGTTTATAATAATAAATATGCCTACTTCTTAATCAACAGATAGTACTTACCATAATAATGAGTACCGACAATTACATACTAAATGTGCCTATTATTTTTAATATATTATGAGTACTTATTCGTAACCAAGTAGTCTGACTGTAATAATCACGCAATTCAGAAACTGCTAATACTTACTAATATTGGATTTGTTAAAAGTAGCTAAAATTATTAATAAAGAATTCTAGTTTATATGTTGCAACAATGTAACAATTAAGCCTTGACGATTATAGTAAAAAATGATCGCTGTCTGTATGGAAGATGAATGATAAAAACGATTATTATCGACCAAATAAATCCCAAAACAATTGTAGTTACAACTATCAGAAACTAGTTAAACGATTTCATTGGGGTTTTCACAAATGTACTTTGATAAGATTCGCTTCAATTTTGTATTTGTTTTTAAAATCGATGAAACAAGTAAATTATAAACTATTGTTATTCCTTATATTACGACACTAGATCGAAGTCGCAGCCTCGAATAATTTAAAATAATTGTGTCACTGACTGCTCTGTTACTTTTTTTTAGGATGCTACCTTCCAGTTAAAAGCGGACAAAATTAAGTTAGCACTAGAGAGAATGCGTGAGGCCAACATCAAAAAGTTATTTATCAAAGCATTTTCTATGGATGGTTCTTCCAAAAGTCTTATGGTCGATGAGAAAATGTCATGTGGTTACGTTACAAGACTCCTGGCCGATAAAAACCACGTTAGCATGGAGCCGAAATGGGCAATTGTAGAACATTTACCTGATTTGTATATGGGTTAGTAAATTATTTTATCTTTTTGTTACATTTTAACTATGTCATAATCTACGGACTTAGTCAATACTTTCTTAGTAGATATCTATATATAAAGAGAACAATATTGATAAATTTTAAATTATACCTTGCCCGGTGCGTATTCTCTGAGTACATCCATCGAATCATCTTTATAAACAGGAATAATTACTTATGACTAAAATACCAAGGTACAATATTTTTCGATAACTGGTATTAAATAAATGTTATATATATGTACATAAAATTCTAAAGTCACGTTTTTAACAACATATGTATTATGTATGAATGAAATGGCCCTCCCTAGAGACTTTAAGTTGCAAGTTCCATGGTCCAAACGTTTGTTCTTTTGAATTGCAAACAATATAAAAGGCATGTTTGTATATATAATTATTGATCTTAAGTAACAATACTGTGACCTTCTACTAAATTAGAAGCATTTCTGGGAAATTTGACATGATATTAGACTATTATAATGTGGAATATTAGATTATTTATATTTATTAACTTGTAAGAAAGTAACTGGTAATATTTTATTATAAATTTATTTTAAATATTTGTCAGTGCAAGCACTTCAATTATTCTTAGTATCCAATAAATAAATATTGTCAGATATTTTATGAAGAGAACCTTCTTATAAACCAAAGTCACTGAGCAAAGTATTTAGTATGAAGTAGTAGCAAACCCTTTTTGAAAACTTGATTTTTTTATTTGTAATTTATTTTACAGAACGTGTATATGAAGATCATGAAATGTTAGTTGATAACCTAATGCTGTGGACTAGAGAATCAAAGAATAAAATCTTATTTTCTGAACGTCCAGATAAAATTATGCTCTTTCAAACACCTGAAAAGTTTCTTTTATCTGAAGATGATAGAGGTATGTAACAATATACAAATGTAGAATATAATAATAAAATGTATTCTCAAGACTACACACATTAACAAAAACATTGATGGTGGCACACCACTTTTATTGACTTTAAAAATAAGTTATGTTGGCCATCTGTACATGACTAAAACATAAATAAGTGTTAGAATAAATTAATCAGATATCTAGAAATCTTAAATTTGAATGATTTTTAAGAGTCCTCCATGATCTAAAATCAACCTCGAAAATACAAAATGAGGTACTAAATTTTCTGGACTGGTTACTAAACAATTCAGTCAAGATGTGCTAATTGTAAAAACATATTATCAGCATATGATGTTATTAATAGTACGTACATAGAGTTATGTAAGAGTAATAGAAATAGAAATAATCTTTATTCAAATAAACTAATATAAGCACTTTTGAATAGTCAAGTTTTTTTATTCTACCGCTTATTCGGAATGCAGATTCATCACAAGAAGTAAGCAAGAAACTTGTGTGTTGCTCTTTTAAATAAATATTGATTTACTTATTTAATTAACAAGGATTAGGCATGCAATAATCAACATAGAAACCGCTACGCACTTAATCTCTATTCAATCAGATAACATTGTCAGCGCTATGAATTTTAAGTTAGAAATTTTCTACAAAAACATTATTATCGATTATAAATGGCTTATTAGTAACGAGTACATTCGACGCAGAGTCATAACGAGAACTGACTTTACACAGACCTTAAATCTATATGAACATAGTACATTATTTATTGAATTTTTAACATAACTTAATTGTACAACTACAACCTAAAATTAAAAAGCTTAAAAAATATAATATAATAACTAAAATATATTATTAAAAAGACCCCCTTTAGGCAAAGTTCCGAAGATACTGGCAGCGTTTCCTCTTTGAATAGCTAGACTAATTCTTTGCCCAAGGTAGCTGCCAGCTCTTCGGTCTTCTGTGATGTCGACTAGCCTTTTTGTTATTTCTTTGAAGTCTTACAGCGTTTATAAATTCTTCAATATTATAATAAGCTATTTTACAAAGAAGAAATTTAAAAACACATTAGAATTTTTTCTGGCAAGTTGAGTACAGACTCTAGGAGTGACTCTGAGTACATTTGTAATGTCTGTAAGAAGTATTAAAATTATTTTATAAAATAAAATTAATTAAGAGCTATAATCTCTAATTAGGTTGGTCATCCGAACATGATGAACATTCAAGACAAGTAATAATAGAAGAATTCTTCGGTCAAAGCAGTGGTACTATAAGTACTATGCCATCTGTGTCCGGACACTCCGTGCCTCCAATGGAGGGTCCTCTCTATCTAAAGAGCGACGCCAAAAAGGGATGGAAGAAGTTCCACTTTGTGCTTCGACCTTCTGGTAAGTAAACAAGTGATAAGCTCGACCGTGTGGCCACACAATTTTTTATGTGACTGATAAAGCATTGCGAATTGGCCTATGCGAGTTTTATCTCTTCTTATATTATGTCCATATTCTTTACTATATTGCTTTGATTTGTCTCTTTATTTAGGTCTGTATTACTCGCCAAAAGATAAGGTGAAGACGTTGAAGGAGTTGGTCTGCCTGGCAACGTTCGACAACAATGAAGTGTACATAGGATTAAATTGGAAAAAGAAATATAAGTCACCGACTGACTATTGCTTCGCAATTAAACATCCAAGACTGCAACAGCCAAAGAGTGTAAAATTCATTAAGTTCCTATGCGCTGATGATCAACAAACCTTAGAAAGATGGGTCACTGCCATGAGGATAGCTAAGGTAATTAAACAAAACACGTCATAGTAAGAAAACTGTTAATTTATAATTAAAAAAAGAATCACTATTTATTTATCACATATTTTACAGCATGGAAGACAAATATTGGAAAATTACAGAGCTTTGGTAGAAGAGCTCACTCAAGAGGATATAGACCATCTAGCACATGCGCGTTCTTGTTCTGTTAGTATACGATTATTTTAATTTCTACGAAAATAGAGGAATGAAATTAAAAAATCTGAAATCATGTAGAAAAAACAATCTAAAATGTTTGTAGGATTTCGTAATTTTTTTTATCCATAGATGTTTAAATCTAGCTTAGATTTAAACATCTATGGATAAAAAAAATTAAGTCTACTAACGCTTAATATTACTCAAAAAAATTTTACTAAACTAATTATAAAGAAACACTTATTTTTTAAATTTAAACTATCAAATCTTTTTGTCAATAAATATCATTCAATATTAGACAAATATTATATAATATTTTAAAATATAGCAAAGATCTTCACGAAACCTGATAGGGATACTCTGGAGATCCTTGAAGTACGTATGAAGTAGTGTGTAAGTGTAATCCGTAATACCGTTTATATTTAGTTAAAATTAAAACAACCAACCATATGTAATTTTAAACTTTCGTGTTTTATATACATTATTTAAATTATTTACCGGGTCTTAACACGAATAATTTTATGGCAAATAAAGGTATTTACCTCTCTCGACGTTTCGACTAGGTTGCACAGGCCGTGGTCACGAGCTGACTGGAGTAACAGAGGTAGTAGAGGAGAGTAGAGGTAAATACCTTTATTTGCCATAAAATTATTCGTGTTAAGACCCGGTTAATAATTTAAAAAACCAGCCATATTCATTTATGTTATACTTGAATTCAAATTGTATTATTTATTTTAGATAACATCAATACCTACAAAGACAAACGGCAATGTAGCCGTGGGTATTAACAGTCCCGCACAATCAACTTCCAGTAACGCCAGTGTTGCCAACTCCGACATCAGCAGTGGAAGGTTGGTGTTCTATAAAAATATATTATACCATAATATTCATAACAAATTTTTGTATAATCAAAACATTAGAAAATTTGATCATTGTTGTTTATTTATGTTAACAACAAATGACTATTTTTTGTTCTAAACAGAATAGTGTAACAGTCTAGTGAAATTAATGCAAAGCGAAATTGAAATTTCCATGCGAATATATAAATTTCTTTTTTAACATAATGACGGTTACGCTGTTACGCTATTTACTGTCCATACCATTGACATTTCAACATACAAAAAAACACTTTTTTTTTACCATCAAATGTAAAAGAAATAACGTACTGTATATACGAAAAAAAGAACGAGATACAGATTAATCCTTTTATTACAATGCATAAAACATGGAGATCTCTATTGAATTTCGAACTCATTCATTAATATACAGCTTAGGTATTTGGGTCCTGAAATATAAAATTATCACAAGGATTCAACTAAAAACAATACAAAATATATGGCAAAATTTCTGTGGTATGGGTACTAAACTAGTTCCACGCGGATAAAACCAATGTAAAATGTAAATCTAAATATAACTATAGAAAGTCAAATTTTCAAATAATATTACCAGCTGTAGCGTAGTAGTGCTGCACCTGTAATACCAATATGTTTAATCTTAATTTTCTATTTTAGTCAATTGTATATACTACGTAGTTTTAAAAATATATTTTCAAAATTTACGTTCGTCCACTAGTGTTTCCATTATTGTCTTTGTATGAAGCACAAATATTTGAGTAATTTTGATGAAAATATTTTAAATAGATGTATGTTTTATTAAATATATGATATCAAGGAAGATCATTCGTTTTGTAAACTGAAAAAATCTATCCTTAAATAAAATATATGTCAATAAAAAATATAGTATGATAGAACAAACCTATATTTATTAATACTTATTACATTATTAATTCTAAATTAATGCGCATTAAGTAAACACGCACATATTATTTCAATTTAATCAATATAAATAGGTACTTGATATTAATTGTGCAACAACACTATTTAAGTTCCGCAAAAAGCTGACAACATAAGTAATGTCAAATTTGTTTCTGAGATAAAAAAAGACAACAACTAACCCTACGTCTTGTCTTAGTGAAAGCGCCAACTAACTTAAAATGCGAACTGTCAAACTCGCGACGTTAAATTATAGTTAAGTTTCTTAATTTTCTTAATTTTGTATTCCAATAAGAACCTTCTATAAAGTATTAGATAAGAAGAAATAAATTAAGGAAATAGATCAAGTTGTTCTCAAATTATGCCGTAACCAAGGAGGATTTATTATTATAGGGTAGTTAATATGCCTTAGTAACGATCAATTAATTTCTAATAGAATGCATTTTAAATATTAGTAAATTGACTTGCTAACCCGACAAACGTTTTCTCTTAGTGAATGCGCGAACGATCATCAAATGTGCGAACTGTTATCAAATGCGAGAAATAGCTTAAAATGCGAACTATCAGACGCGCTACGTTATTTGGTAGTTAAGTTTTTTAAAATTTCTAAAGCTCTATTGGTCTTTCATATTTCTTTGTTCAATCAGGATCTTATAAAAAATATTAGATAACAAGAAAAAATAATTAAATCGATTAAACTGTTCTTATATTATGCCGTTACCAAGGAAAAGGAGTATTCAATTTTATAAATGAGAAGATAGTTAACATTTTGTAGTGACGTGGAAAATTCAGAATAAAAAAGAAATTTAAGTATGAATAAACTGACTAGGTAATCCGACAAACGCCTTATCTTAGTGAATGCGCGAACTGTCATCAAATGCGAGAACTAGCTTTAAAATGCGTAAATTGTTCATGTACATTTACTAAAATACCCAATTTTCTGCGTAATCTTCTTTTTTTTTGGTTCAATAAGAACCTTCTATAAAATATTTGGAAACAAGAAAGAAATAAATTGAATCTATTAAACTCTTCTTAAATAAGCTATGATTAAGGGAAACGAGGATTCATTTTATATCTATAGAAGGGGTCCAAAATGCTGTATTGGCATAGGAAATTTAATGTAGAAAACGATTTTTCAATATGACTCCTTATTTATTATTTGTAATATTAAAAGATGATACTACACGACAGTAGCTATATATGGCTACTGTCGTAGATTTAGCATAGTTATTAGCTCATGAGCTGTAATTGTAATTATGTGAAGTTGGTGTATAACGATTCATAATTTTATAATATTTGGCGGCAGACACTCTCGCGCCTCGTCATCCAGTTCAAGCGGCTGTCTTTCCGATGGCGGCACAGCCTCAGAAAGCGCGTTTGATTGTGAATTTCCAATGGGTAAGAATATAACATATATTGTATTTAAAGATGAAAGTAATATTTTCTTCATATTACCAAACAATAAATATCATTTATACTTTTATTAAGTACTCAATAATTTTGGACTTAAGAGTATTTTGTTTGTAATGTATAATATAAATGTAATCGTAGGTACTATAAAACGCAAACCTTCGATGAAGCCCAATATTCCTTTAACGTGGATGACCCGGCAATTAAAGGAGATGGTCGAGAAAGGCGGAGAAGGTGAGGGCGAGGATGATGGGGGAGGTGATGGTGGTACCCTCACACGAAGGCCAAGAAAGTCTCGGACTGAGGATTCTACACTCAAAAGGCATCACACACTTGGTTAGTATAGCATATTGACTATAGTTTTATACTTAAACTAGTTTAATATACCTCATAGTTCATTTACTCTCAAGTGTTTTGTCTCGTTTTTACTACAATGTCGTAAAAAAATATAGTTAATGTTAGTAAAACAAAAAAAAAAATTGGAATATCAAGATAATAAAAAATTTCAGTTTATTGTTTTATTTAAAAAATGTAAATTATATTATATGTTATTTAATGTTTTCTCATACAATTCTTATTGTTCAGAATCTTCAGACAACGTCGTGTACAGCGCTGCAAATACTAGTCACGTTGGTACGGCAAGCAGCCCTGTTCAACACAAACCTCCGTCGCCTTCTTTTGGACTCTACGAAAGTATAGCTCGCGATAATGTCTACCGAAATATCGCAGACAATAGTTCTTCTCTGTATGGTTACACTACAATTTATGACAAAATACAAAGGCCACAAGAAGTAAGTACCGTGGAAGATCTTCCTTTGCCACCTCCACCTAGCGAAGATATACCAGACGGAATGTTTAGTTCTACTTTAAGTTTGGATTCTCTTCCTCCACCTCCTCCACCACTTGAACCCATAGAAGATATATCTGGATCGCAACTAAGTCTCCCACCACCACCACCTGAGCATGCTATAGAAGCCGTGAACCAGCACAGTGGCCGTGTTCATGACATAGTAAGTCAATTGTCTGCGCAACAAATAGAACAAACATCCCGAGCTTCCCAATCTAGAACGAGTTCCCGAAACTCAGACCTGAGTCGAACCTTCCCACGCCAGCCTTCATTGGACAGTGTTAATTCTGATACATCTCGTACCTCATCACTACACTCTGATAAAAGTATATATGGACAACAAAATGTCGCATATGGGGCGTGTCTCGTAGAACTTCAGAATAAAAAAATAAGTAACGGAAGTCCATCAGTTCAAAAGAAACTGACTTTAGAACCGGGTAAGGAGCGGACTAGTTCGATAAAGAAAGTTAACTTTGCTGATGATCTACCTACTAGTTCCGATGCCAAAAAGAACAAGAAAATTTCCTTCAATCTTAAGGAACCACTACCACCATCTCCTCGAAAACCACCGCCGCCCAAAAGAAATGAGAGTACAAGACTTTCATCTCCTAAAAAATTGGCGGATTCCAATAGCAATCCACCTAAAGAATTCTTGAAAGATTTACAACGAGTAATGAGGAAAAAATGGCAAGTTGCGCAAAAGTGTAAGTTAGAACCAGCCACGACGCCTCATGAAGTGTTGGGTTTCCGTGAATATCCGCTTTCGGAAGCTTATAAGGAAACAAGTGTGTCCATGTGGGTACAAGAACATTATGGCAGCGGTGTTGAGGATCCATTTTATGAAAATATATATGGCCGAGAACCACAACCACGGCGAGAGGAACCTAAGCCCATTAAAAAACGACCTCCACCTGCTCCACCGCGACGTAGCGAGTCCACACATCTTTCTACACATCCACACCCCTCCACGATGCAACCTATCGTGTGAATAACTCACCACTATTAGTATGCATTTTTAGAATGTAGTAGATATTGCAAACAATATTTGGAAATAGCTGTCATACTGTAAAATATTGTTTCGAATTACGATAACAGTAGAGCCCATTGAGGCTGATGTTTGGCTATATTTAATAAATGTGTAGACGTTTGTAATAGTAGATAAGATTTAAAATGAAAAAGCCTTTAATATAATATCGTACGGTCTCTGGGTGTAATAAAAAAGTTTAATCGAATATACAAAAGTAATCTTTAATAAGCCCCCTTAATTTATAATAAGGCTTGTTACTTTTATACGACCGGAGGGTAATAGTAATTATTTTTAACATTTTGTACTAACGTGACCAATTTCGATAATTATGACCATAACAAAGAAAATTTATTATTAATAATTTATTATAATTCGAAAGGCGGTGCTATTTTGAAAAGGTATACTAAGGAATGTGGTTGGTTTTTGTCTGTCTACTTGTACTCTGTACCTTGTGACATTTGTTCGTTGTAGTGTAGGTTAGATTACAAGTATGGAAATAATATTATTATGCTGAATGGTGCGAACCTCATATAGTCTTGCTTATATATGCTTGCTTTTAGGCGGCATTAAATCGTATTTACTTCTATGTTTTGAATATCAGATAATCAAAACATAAAATATACATTTCAATTTCTATGTATCGGCGGTATAAATCGCAAATTACAAAACACGGATAAGAACACTGTCACTGTCACTGACATCCAGTGCAACTTTCATCATTGTATGTATAACAGTGGTGTCTAACCACTGTTATACATACTATCATTTATATATAAGATTGTAACTCCTATAGTATGTTTGTAGTTTAATCGCAATATCGCTATAGGTGATACAACTGGTAACATTATTTAAAATTTATGTATTTAAACCTGTTTTAGTCTCCGACATTAAAAAACGGGCTACACATACTAATGAGTTGTCTCCAGCGATATACCTAGATATTACATCGATACATAGACATTCACTTACATGATTTCTATACTCTATGATTAATAGCAATTTAAAACAAGCATATATAGCAGGTAGGAAGGTAACTAGTAGACAGTACAATATATTTATTGCATGAGTTGGAGTTTTGTCAATTTTATATTATGTTCCTAGATAATTATTGAGTGTTATTATAAATAATGTTTGGGCGCTGGTCGACACATCTAAACTCCGTCAAGTTATCTATGTAGGTATTGATCCCTTCTGTATTGGGATATTACGTGTTGATAAATCTGTGTACGTCGCAAATATTTAATAATCAATGTGTTAAATTGAAATTAAGATATAATATGACTAGTTTAAAATCTATATGACATATACCTAATCAAATATAAACAAAGCTTTATATACATGACATTTGATGTGCCGTTTTATATTTCCGAAATGACAAAAAAGCAATGCAAGTTGTTATTATACCAGCTACGTATACATATTAATACATATATTATAATAATTATTAAATGTATCTATTACATTATACTGTTACTTTTAAAGAGATAATTATTTATTATTTATAATGGTAATATTAAGGGGTTGCTTCATTAAGAATTAGATATTTGAAAAGTGTTTAAAAATTGCTATTGATTGCCCTAACAAAACCGTCATAAAATTCGACGTATTATAATCAATATTTTCAATAATGTGCAGTTAATTGATTATTTCTATACATTACAATCAAAAACTATAAATGTTACTTTTAAATATTCAATTCCAAGAGTACGTTGTTTAAATGAATTACTTGCACACAACTTGCTACACTAATAACTGTCAAATGGTTATGACAGTTAACCATTCCAGTTGCAGTTGTATAATCGCAAACTATTATATTGAATTTGTTTTAAAATATATATTTTTACTCAGAGCTACACATTATTTGTAAGTCGGACAAGTAACAATTAATACATAAGAGTTTGTTATATACAAGTGAGTTCTTGTTTTTCAAATGGTTGGGTGACTGCACACATTAATGAAACAACCCCTTCGAAACTATATGTGCCATAGTCGTATTCATACTGAGATTGTATCTGTATGGGTTCATTGTTCATTATTTTGCCACAGGTTCTTATTAAAAATATCTGTACATAAAATACTTATAGGTGTAATCCATTATTCTATCTGTCGTTTGTAATGTTCGATGTTGCTATACCACGAAGTCCATGTTTATGATATGTTATACATATAGTCATCATATTACTCGCATAATTAAAATTTACAGTCGGTGATTAATTAAACGCGTAAGTAACTTTGCGATATTATTTCTGAACATCTCTATATTATTTTTTAGAGTTTACATATTTAGTGACATATTTAAAGTATAAAATTTCAAAAATAATGTCATTGTATTTTAAATTTAGGATTGCATTATTTAATTAATATTTAATTTTATAAATGTACAGATATATTTTAAATTGACAGTAGTTAATGGAAGGGGACAAAATAAAAATATACAGAACTCCAATATGTCTGATCTCACTGTATCCGTTAAGCGTTCTTATTATGTTTGGGCTGTGATTTTATCGTCTGGTTTTATTTGCAGGCATTTATTTGATTTATCTGCACAACATCTAGGTACATTCAACTGAGCGAGCGTAGCGATAAATAGTTGTTCCCAATCCAAGTAGCGAACTAAGCTTCGAATACCTGATTAGGTTAAATTTTGTAATTATATACGAAACACTTTGGTAAATTAACTTTATTAGACCATTACATTTATAATTAAAAGAGGCTTTAAGTCGCAGGTACATTAAAATCCTGTATAGTGTGTAATAACATATATGTAATATTTCATAATTAACTAAGCCTATGCAAATAGTGTTTCATTATTATCTGATGGTGTTTATAGACTCGTACTTAATAATGATCGAGTCCAAGAAGAAAAATGTTTTTATTATTATCGCAGTAGCTATTGAAATATTTACCTTGTCCATTATATTTATTTTATATACTTACTACTTTTTTCACTTTTTCAATATTTTTAGCAATTTCATTAGTATAAAGATATTCCATCCAAGTACATATTCGGGTAACAAAGACTGATTTAAAAATTAATCCGATTTTGACAATAAAATTGCGTCCAAAACAGAGCTGGGCGAACATGTATGTATTTTAAATTTATTATTACTAGTAATTATTCACATTTCTTTTTGATATAAATGTATATTGTATTAATTTTGGATTCATTAAAATTTATCTACTAATGAAATCTCTAGAAAAACCATAGGTTATGTACTATCTGCACTAATATGTACCTATATTAAATGTATGATATAACCGTACCGTGACAATTATTTTATCTGTTATAAAATATTTTTATCTATTTTAATGATTAGCAAATTCACTAATCATATAAGCAAATGCTTTATTTAAATTTTTAAAATATTAGAACTGAGAGTTCTGAAATTACAACAATTCAGCAAACAGTATCTCTAAACTCGCTGTAGAACGACCAATAAATTCCACATAGGCTAAGATTATTTTATAGTTCTACATACTTTCTAAAGTTATCTCTTAACCTGAGCTTGTTATGTAATGTGCTTACTGTACAGGTATACTACATTATATTAAATACTTTCCTTAATGGTCATGTATATCTACAATTTACTAAGCATCACCTATATTATTGTAGTGATAGTTAATGTACTTACTGAAGGCAAAGTCTGTAAACAAGATGTACGTAAAATTTAATAGGTATGTCTTAAGTAATTTAGAGCTGAGCAAAAATTTAGAGCTGGTTGCATCCTCTTAAAATAGGCACTACACACAAATAAACCATATTGAATAAAACTGAGATTCTGTATAGTTATTTCATCACTTAGTAAGTACCTACCACTTTCGAAATTTGAATATACTGTAATATAAAATTTTGAAAAAGTATTTGAATATACTATAAAATTCTCAAAAATATTAACAGCGAGAGGTGTTGTGACAGCGAGTGTGTTTAAGCAGAATTAAGCGATGCGGCCAGCCTTAGACAGCTTTAAGAAATATTGAATTGCTTGTTTTTATGATTTAACCGTAAACACAAATAATACCCTGCTTCTCAGATCGGCAACTTAATGTCAATAATATTTACCCAGAAAAAAAATGGTCACCTATACTATTACTCCAGCAACTCCACATATACCTACTGGCAGTTTCTTAAAAAAAGATGGGTAAAATATGCATCCAATAATAGTTATTGTATAGTAATATGAAAGGAGACTTGTGGTATAACATATAAATACAAATTTTAACTGATTATTGTTAGGTGTATAAAATGTCAGTATATATTAAACAAAAGCGGCAAAGACGTGATCCATCTATGTGGAGTCTTGTTCGTACCTACTGCCCGTAACAACTTCACAATGAGAACTACTAAAATAGTATAAATATTTGACTTTAATTTAATACACATTTTATAGATGTTACCCTAACATTACTATATTTAGAAAAATGACCTAATATAATAGTTAAAGCCCATTTGTTGTCATTATACGCGCCTTTAAGTATGTAATGACCTATTTTTTACATTCTTCTATGTAAAAATAAATGGTACTTTTGATATATATTTATGTTTTATGGGTACCTACTTATTTTATTAAAATATAAATTTATTATTTTAGAATTGTCTTTATTTCTCTTTCTTATGTAATTAATGTAGGTACATAACAATTATAACAGAAAAGTAATGGAAAATAGTAGAAATAAAATGTTCTCCGCGGTTAACTATAGCATATCCTTACTAAATATGGAACGGAATTAGAACTCTGATATACATGTCTGTAATGATAATACAGTGTGTAAAATAGGTAACGGAAAAACACATTTTGACAGATCTCAGAATCTCTGATTGTGTGCACACATAAAATAATTATAATATAACAAAATACCTACAAAAATAGGCTTAATTAAGAAATAAAATAGTAGATATTTTAGAAAGTATGGTTTCCCTAAAATATCTACAATTCTATAATCTGAGAGATATTTTTAGAAATAGGACAATCCAATAATTTTGCAATAACCTAATATAATATTGTGTTAATAGAACAATTTCTATACTTGCATGTCACGTCCAGTAGTAAAAAAAATACTTTGTGTTGTTACTTTTCACTCAACCGACTAAAGTCGAATCCGTCAGCCAGGAATTGGCCTTCAACCGCTTCATAAGTTCTTCCGTGTTTTAGTATGCTGTCTGCACTCTACAGATAAAACTGTAAAGACCAACTGTGTAATAAGTTTGATAGATACAGTTTCACACCGAAACTCTTATTAATCTATTCTTAAATTATTAATCACCAGCTGTACACGCGACTTCGTCCGCGTGGAATTTAACATTATTTTTCTAAAATAAAAGAAATTATGTATAAGATGGTAATTGAAAGTGTTTGGAAACTTGTTTAAAGCTTAACAATATAGTTTGCTCCTTAAATTGAAGTTCAGTAAAATAGCAAATGCTTAAATTGATTTTAAATATTACGATATAATGTAATATGCAGAGGATTTATTCGTTAACTTCCTGTTAGTATACAGTACCTATTCATTAGTAGGTACTGTATACTAACAGGAAGTTAACGAATAAATCCTCTGCATATTTGCAGAGACGACTATATATCTTAATCTATACTTATATATATAATTTCTATTTAGCCACAAGATCTCCAAATAACATGAAAATGGTAAAAATATTCACTGCTTTGTAAATAAAACTGAAAGAGAATTAAACAGGGGTGAAAAATTATATAAAAACTCATCTTATCGATTAAGTTTTTATTAATACTGGTATCTACTCTTTCTAACTTAAATGAATATTTAATACCTAATACTAAACTTAACTGTCAACATAGCAGGTTGAATTGATATATTAATAGTTATATAGATAGTGCATTCTTTAAGTTCTAGATGCTGAGTGTAACCTGAAAATTTATTTGACATTCAATGTATTTAATGCATTTATTAGTTATTTCAGTAATTATGTTTAAATTGTACAGAACAAATTGATGATAACATTAATTCTTTGTATATTTTTTCAAATATAAGGAAATTCCAAATAAATATGGGTCTTTTATTGTATAAATAAGTCCACTAATGTCAGGTTCAGAACCTACCTAACTTCCTAGAGATAACGATAAGAGTCTAAAAGAATCCTAAGGATATAAGCTACTTAGAATAAACCGATATTTGTCATATTTTACATTCTTTTCAATTCATAAGAACAGATTTGAAACCAAGAATACTATCTACTTATATGAGATACCTGTCAATTCAAATCAGTAATATCTGTACACCTACTGAAGGAGAATTGAAAACGTTATTGTGGATATGTAAGCGTTTACCAACTGATTGCTGCGATTTTAGCGCGTATAAAGAAGTGGAAGTTTGCTGCATTTTTTTTATTCCCTTTTGAAAGTACGGAAAGCCCTGTCTCTTTTCACTATTACTTTACGGACTTCGTCCATAATCTATGGAGCAGTAGGACGTCGTAATTTCACAACATGAACTGGTGCATGCTTATCAGATAAACATAAGATTAGTCCATTGAAAAAGGAGATTTTAGTGTTTATGTCAGTAGCATCTAGCGGCTTCTGGTTAATAATTGCGGCATCGCGGCTAAGTAAAGTGGCATTGATTCTGTAAAAATTACGTACGCTGGTAATATTCGGCTTCGGCTTAGATGTTTTTATATTGTATGAAAGGAATAGGTGGTCATGACGAGAAAGATGCGGGAGCCGAGATTTGATCATAATCAATAACGTGATCTGTTAAGGAGATACTAATAAAGTCCAGCCAAGGATCGTTAGTGTCGATGTTTCGATGGGTCGGTTTTAAAGGTAAAATAGACAGATCCGCAGGATTGAAGATTGATCTTAGCTTTTGTGATTGCGTCGAGTCCTTCATCAGGTTAGTATTAAAATCACCCATGATGATGCCATGATTATAAAATGTTTAGGATATCGATGGCATCGTCAAGGTCTCCGAAATAATCCGTTGAAGGTGAACAGTAGACAACTCCAACAGGAATTAATCCATTAAAGTCAATCTCTATAAATAAAAGCTCACCCGAACCCCTGTATTCAGGAGGAGAAGATAAAATTATTTTATAGGGAATGACTACGCAAGTAATTCGCGACATCGCGTCCACTCTTACCTATATGGTAGATGGCAAAGCAGGTTTTAACCACCATTCAGATATAAGTAAAGCTTGGAGATTCGGCTCAGAAAAAGAGTTGAGTAAATCAGTATAGTGAGTCGGTACACTTTGCGCATTAATATATTAAAAAAATAGATTATCACATAGTAAGTTTTTAATACTGATGTTATCATTAGAAGAGTCACCAGAATGTATTTAAAAACGACTACTATCAAATGATGAATGAAATGAGTCGTTGTGTGAAGGCGTTGAATCTATAATAGGGGAAGAAGGATGAATGGCGTTCACTTAAAGAGAACATGGTGTATTTTATAAATTATTTATTGCAAATAAAAATTAAGAATTAACAAAGTCTTTAATTATCGAGTAACCAAATATTTAACAACAAAAGCATATAACTTTATTCTACTAGTAGTAGGAAGACATTATTTAAAAAAACATGTTTGAGCGGCATTGCCCCTGACTATGAGTAATGCCGCTCAGGGTACGGGGTAATGTCTAATAACCAGTAAAATATATGTATATAATCTTATATAATTAAAGTAAAATCTACAATGCCCAATTATCCCCATTTCTACGTAAAATTAGCCTTTTCCAATTAAATAAATATAGTACAGGCTTAGATGTCAAATCAACTTCAATTATTGTAATATTATTAGAGGTAAGACAAATTATAAATAAAAATATTTCATCTTTGGATACATAAATCACATGTATCTATGTGCGAACCCCACCCTGAAGATGTAGCATGAGCCCACAGTCCGCAGATGGTGCAGCGATACCATAATTCATTCTTCCGTCTCGCTTTAACAAATTTTATTTATAAAAATACGAAACTCTGTCCATATTATTTACCTGTAAAATTCGGTGAAATAAAACGCAACACAAAAAAGACAATTATCACTGTGTTAACATGAAGTACAACACGTTAAACAGATAGAAGATGTCAATCAGTATGGCACTGTCATACGACATATGTATGATAATGTATGTCAAAATGACGCCTGTGACGACTAATATAATAAAAACATAATTATAAGATTACAACAAAAATTAAAACTGATAATATTTAAATTCAATACATATTGAACAAAGATTACCGAAATCACATTAATGTAATCACAAGATAATAATTATTGCACATTGTATTGTATATTTTATTAATACCGTACATACATCTAGGTATATACTTAGGTATATATTATTATTATTTTTATTGTTTTTCTTCTCGGCTTTCGCCGGTCGTTTATGGCCAAAGCCAACTACATAGCAATGTTATATTTTTAAGTGAATATACTATAAATATAATCGGTCTAATTTGTTTGTAAAATAATTCTGACAATGCGGCATGTGTTTACGATAACAGCCTTCTGTGGTTGGTAGGCTTCTGATATTAGGAGGCAAGTTCAGGGTATTTATTTATTGATGTATGTGTTTCGGTATGACACCTGTAGTTGAGAGGACGATTGGGACTATTGTTACTTTTTGTAAGTGCCAGAGTCGGGTTATTTCAGGTTATAATTCTTTATATTTTGTTATTTTTTCGGCTATCGTATTTTGCAGGTTGTGTGTGTTTTATTATTATTAATATAATATTATAAAACTGAAGAGTTAATCTTAGAAACTACTGGTTCGAATTGAACAATTATTTTTGTTTTGGATAGTCACTTTGTCTAGGAAGGCTTTAAGCTATATAACATTACGCTATGACTAATAGGAGCGGAGCTGCAATGAAAAATATTGCAAAGGGCGGGGAAATGAAACATAGACGAAGTTGCGCGAGTTAGCGCGTATTATATATAAATCCAAAAACCACTCCTGGCGTGCCACTCTTGAATGAGATAATAATTGGCACGTGCAAAAATGGTTCCATAATACATCTCTACATCTAAATAAAATTGGAGTGTCTGTTTGTAATATTGAAATAACCGTTTCTTACTACATGCATATAAATATAAATACGGTACATGCAATAAAATAAAAAAAAATTACAATTTCTGTCTGTCTGACTATTTTTTTCGGCTAATCTCGGAAATGGCTGAACCGATTTTGACGGGACTTTTATTGGCAGGTAGCTGATGTAAGAAGGAGCAACGTCTACTATTTTTATTTAAAAAAAATAAAGTCGCGGGTACAGCTAGTAGGTATATATATATATATATATATATATATATATATATATATATATTTACATAAACTCCACTGAAATTATAACTTTTCCATGGACAATTTTAGACGTTCAGTTTAAATAACTTAGGGTGTAATAAATACTTGTAAAGTATTCAAAATTGATGTAACATTGGATCATAAATATAATAACATTACTTAACTGCTTACTTGTATGACGTCATTTAATTAGTTATATTCTAGAATTTGTACTGAAACAATGATTGTGGATACGACACCAAAATTAGAAAATGGACAAGTTATATTTTTTTACCCGTACAAAATATAAATTTATATATATTATTATATACTTTATAATTGTGTCCCCATGTAACCAAAACTCATACTTTAAATAAAAAAATACTGCAGTTCAATTCCTTCATGTTTCAGTAAGATTTTCAATTAAGCCTTCGCAAAAACTTAGGTAGGAAAATCATCCATCTCAGTATCTAAGAATAATAAATTGTACTGAAGGTATCAAGGTTTAGTCGTCAGTATCAAGTTATTCTTTTGTATATGCCGTCTCCTACTGGATTTGGCGATCTTAACTTTGTCCACCGCTGTTCTGAACAGGGATCTGTTGCTAATCCCGAACCACTATCTTAAATTCTTTAGCCATGACGTGCGGCACCTGCCCGGTTTTCGTTGGCACTACATTTTTCCTAGAATTATTAATTCTAAAAGATTTTATATCTCGCCTTATATGTCAAAGGTACTGCAACTTCCTATGCTTTATAGTAGATATCCAACACATCTAGAATCTACTCCGAGCCTGATCAATGTGACACTTTATTTTCGTAAAGCGATCTTCCCGTTCGTTTAAAATACATCCGAGATATTTTTGCATTCTCCAACGATTTAACCTTTAAATAAATTCAAGTATCTATTACTCTAAGATCTTGCATTGTACGCATCATAGACAGTATTTCTATTGATGAATTACTCCTTTACGTAATTATACGCATCAAAAGTCACTGTTCATTAAAATTAAAACTGGTTGTCTAGCCATTAAACCGCGAAAAAAACTTACTAATCAATATTTTTTTACTTTATATTTGAATAAAATTTATATTTTTTACTTTATATATGTATATCCAGTAATATGGTCGGTGAAGGTAAGCAAGTTACCTATAATATATACCTTAGATCGCTCGCAATGGCTCTATAACAACTGCAAATCATAATTAGTAGATAAGTTGGCTATAGGTACTATAATGTTATCAGTGGCTGTACTAACTATTGTACTACTTAACTGTACTTTAATGTACTGATATTATTGAAATTAATATAATAAATATGTATGAAAAATTAGTTGGTACCTTACAGTATATAGGAGTTCCCCAAATTGCAAAAAAATGTGTAGTATTGTTTGAGTAGATACCTACCTATTCAAATAGTCCACTTTTTAAAGTGCGTTGTACAAAAGTATTCGAAAGTTAGCATTAAATAGTCTATTTCAGATGACTGGAAATATACAAGCATATGTGGACACTTAGAAGCGGTTAGGTGGCAGTTATGGCCACGGAACTGTAACAATAGTCCTGGTTATCTTTCCCTCGGCGACTGGACTAAGTCGCCTTTTATATGGTTACATTATGTGGAAAGTTCAGATGGATTACTGCCAGATGATGACGTGTTGCTGTACGTTGACATATTAAGTACTGATTCTTTCTTATTTGCAAAATCGTTTAGAGGAGTGAAATTGACCTCTGTTTTGATTTTATTGAGATTGATACAACAGTTTCACTGAAATCTTATCATTATCAATTAAATTTTATTTATTCTTGGTCTAGCGTCTCTAAAATATTGGGTGTTTCTTTTAATAATAAAAACAATAAATATTGAACTTTATTATTACAAAATATATAATAATTACAATTTTTATCAGTTACTAGCTATCCGCCCGCGCGGACATCGAATATGTAGGTTATCGCGCGTGTAAAATTCTGTGTTCAGTAGTGGGACGTTATATATCCTTAACCTTCCTCTTAAGTTACTCTATTCTGTCTCTTAAACAAAATCGCATCAAAATCCACGTAGTTTTTTTAAGATTTAAACATACATAGGTCTATTACATATAAGATATTTTAACCGGAATTTGGAGCCTTTTCAAATGGTATTGGCAGATCAGTTGAGATCATCGGTATTCTTGGTATATGTGCTAGTTGCCCGGCTGCCTTGGCCCGTGCCGCTGGTAATGGTCGCTACAATTAAATTGTCCTTCAATTCCTTAGTAAGCAGTCTCTGATGGGTTTACATTTCTTAAAATCATGATGGGATCATGCTTTTGAGAAATTCCGATTTTTTAAGTCAAATCGTATGGTAGCAGTCCAGAAGGGTTTAGTAAAAATTCCTTTGGATAATGAACTGCGTTTTCGATATTAGTCACGCTGTCGATTGATTTGTAATTGTTTATTTGTCCGGGAACTTTTTGAATAATCAGATTATTTCGTTGACAGTATCATTCTTAGGTAACACTAGATGACAACCAATGAAAGCCTTTTTCGTGCCAGTGCCAATTCTCGATGTCAGGGTATGCAGCATCTATCAAAAGTTCTAAATTATGGTCGATTTGACCTAGGGACTCATCCAGAAAGATATTACAATTTCTGTTTAAATTGGTAGTGGAAAAAATTCCTTCATTATATATTATCATTGTATTATCTTAGCAAATATCCCCCTACCCCAGTGACGCCCCTACATCGCATTTTGTCTAGAAACCGAGCAGGATTTTTTTTAATACTTAGATTGTTAAATACCTGATATCTTTCGAATGGAATCTCCGAATTGAATAATTCAAAAAGTTATATACAGGTATTGAAGCTGTAGTTAATATGAGGTAATTTATTTTGATAAGGATTAATACCAAGATACAAAATAAAGCGGCTTTCAAAAATTAAAAAAAAACACTTATTGTGATGTAACTATAACAGATAGACATATGCCGTCGTGACACTTTTTATAGATATCGAATGGTGTGCTCTGCAAAGTTGTAGTACATCATTTTGTACTATCATCAAAAGTTTTCGCAGCGCATGCGGTGTTAGGTATTTTTGGAGTAATTTTTTCACACCTTGGGTTACATTATTGATCCCTAATTTTTTTGGAAATGTATATGACACTCAGGGATAGTGTAGCTTCGTATTGGTGAAAAAATCTTTCAAATCGGTCCAGTAGTTTCGGAGCCTATTCCATACAAACAAACTTCTCTTTATAATATTAGTATGATTAGAAAATCATTCTCTACAATTTAATAGGGTAGGTACGTTTGGAAATTAATAAAAGTTATTATCCAAGAAACTAATTGCTCAAATATTTTATTTTTAAAAATATAGGCATATTTTTTTAATGTTATACTAAAATAATTTTGTTGGATTTATATCGGTAAGTAGTAGATAACAATTTCTAACTTTTTTATACAGCAGTAAAGATACCCAGTTCTGGTCCATTCATGATGTACAACGCTATTTCTGCGGGCAATTGCATTGCGAACAAGTTCTTTTTACGTACCAATATCCGAATATAAGGATGCCCACAAAATTGGGAAATTATTCCTGGAAGAGCAACACTGCATTAAAAATTCCTTCTACGCAATATCAGAAAGAACTTAACCGGTGTTTAGAAATAACACTAAAGGTTTTATCATTGCATATTTATATTTCGAAATAAGTTTATGATACACATAGTAGGATCGTATTAACCATTATATCAAAGAATGAGAAAAGATCTCAAAGAAACACAATACAATGAAAATTTAGTAATATCACAGATAACATAATATTACATAGTAATATATATTCCTGCAAATATGTTAGATATAAAATAGTATTGAGTGACCTGGCAGAGGGTGGGGGACACAACACCCCACCCTCTTTTATTTTATAAACCGTATTTATTGCTTGATCGCGACATGGTTAATTTGGCCCTTTGGTCCTGATACATGGTCAATTACTACCTAAAACATTACAAATCTAAATCTATAGTACTGGATATAACACATTATTTTTTTACCAAATTTCGAAAATCATCAATATATGAACTAACCAGTTGATATTATGATTAATAATTCTACTGCTTTTATTATTGCAGAAAATGGAAGCAAATGAAACGCAAATGGATCTTTTGATTATCTGTGATCAGCTAATAAACATTGAACGTTTAGATGAATTTAAAAGAAAAACATTTTTTCGTATTATATTAAATATTTTAAGGTTAAATAAATTTATTGAGTTACATATCTAAATTAAGCTATTTAGTTGCTTCCTCAGTCTGAAAATGTCAGTCCTTGTTAAATGTTTTGCATGGTAGCATTGTGATGCACGTCGACATCAAAATGTTATAGTATTAAGTAATCACTTCAGTTATGATTAATAATATAACAACGCCGGTATTGGTTTATCTATCCATCTGATTCATCTATATTTCCGAATGCACCATAGCTCGTTTTTTCTTTTTAAATTAAGGTACAAGTAGATATTTCACAAGCTTCGTTCATGGTTGTACCGATACATGCAGTAGATGCATACAGCGCGTACGGAATTGTCTAAAATAACTTTCGGGATTCGAGAAAATTTGATATCACTATTATACGAAGGCATATCAACAATCCATTACCGAGAGGCAGCAATAAGCGATGATCCAAAAGATGAGCGCTACTTCACATAAGGTAGCATTTATAAAAAAAAGGGCGCTGCTGTTCTGCTTACTAATAACTTTTACTCTATATAGTAGGTATATACTTATATTCATTTAGATCTCAATGATTGCCCTTGTCATCGACAATTTAAATCTATAATGTCAGAAAATCGAGGTTTTCTGACAATCTTATGTACTAATCCTACTGTATGTTTTATAATCAACTAACATAAATCAATGCTTCAAGACTTCTTGTAATAGAACGTTGGGTATATCTCGCTTGGAAAAAATGTACTTATCTACATATATTATTATATCATTTATCCTTTTTCGTAGTTTTGTAGTTCGTTTAAAGGCCACAAATGTCGCTTAGTAGCTTTTCCTGAAGTCTTGATTTTTCGTTATACAATAAGCTGCAGGTATTATCAAGAAATCCAAATATTTTTTTAAAGTTTCCAGGATCAACTGCAGCTAGTGTCTTTTGAGAATTTGTGCTGCAAACGGTTAGAAGGGGTGCGGTTGATCCAGCAACTCGCATGTTTCAATTCTCATTCACTTAAGTATCTCTTTCTCTGGCGGTTTGTTTTGCCCAATGAAAATCCATTACTGATCAACTACAGTTATATTACCGGTGGGTTTTTATTCGACTTATAACAATAAAAAATTATTAGACATAGAACAATAAAAAATGTAATTGAAAAATTACCACATGTTCTACGGCACATTTCATCATCAACTGGCGATGAGTGATTTATACTGCTTAGTAGTGTTTGTCTATGTTTGTGTCATAGCAACAAAACATTCAGTTATACTTTATATTATTTAAATTTTTTGAAATATATAATATAAACATATTAAAACGTCAGGCTAAATTTAGAAAGTTTACAAAAAAAGATTTTCGGAAATATAATGATTAACTGTGTTCCATTATTCATATTAACTCCGTGTTTAAAATTATTCTGTTTTCTAGTGCCTTGTGTAACTTTATTAAGCGTGTTAGGCGTTTACACGGGTGGCTTATTTTCACATTTCACTAATATTTCGTATATAACATTGAATACATTAGTCAATAATACTTCTTTGTGATGAAATGGAACAAAATGGGGTTTGTCGTTGTCTTGGTTACATAAACAAAATAATTGCGTTTGGAAAGTATGATGACTGACGAAGAAAAATCGAAAATAACTAAACTTCTACAGGGAATAGATGTGCCCGACATTAAATTATCAGAAAGATGTTCAGATTTAGTTAAAGAAATTCATGACAAGTATAAGGAGTTGGACGATGAATCAACGGAAATTCAAAAGGAGCTCAATGATAATCCATATAAAGTTGATCGAAAACTAGTCGATGAAATTGATAGAAAACTACATGAATTAATGTACGAAAACAAACGGTATGTCTTTTCTAAATTTGTACAATCACTTTATACACTATGTACCAATATATGTGAGGGAAGTTACCTCTGAACTTCTCACTTTAACAGATTAACAAAATAAATTGCTAATCAAGATAAAATAATATAAAAACACATTTAATACAATATACAATAAAACAGATAAGTTATATGGATACATCAATACGACGACAAGACGACAAAACACACTCTCTTTTCAAATATTCAAAACATACTTTATCTGCCATACCAGCCAGTCTAGACATCGATTGCAAACCTCGTTCTAACATTATAGGTGCCTACTTGGAATGCAAAACTTTAATCGAGCGTTTCATAGACACAAAATTATATAGATACATACCTATATACGTATATTCACTAATATTAAGAATATTATGTAGGTAATGATAAAATACATTATCGTAACTGTAATTGTACATATCGTGCCGTATGGTATAATTGTTTTTTTTTTTACATTCCAGATTAAAAAAAGATCATTTTGAACTTGTCGTATTGACTGGTTCCGATCCGAAGAGACCCTGGCGAACCTATTCAAATAAAGAAAAACTTTTTCGCATTGACAGTCAGCTCAAAAGACACTATGAGAAGGCTACACAGATGATTACTCCGTTAGCTGAAAGCGATATGAAAGATTTAGTAAATGAATGTCAGAAAGAAACCGACACAACAGCTTTAATTACAGTCGAACGTGTGCGTGATACAGTAGATGCAGCGAAGAAAACTTTACCTAATTTTCAGTACAGAAAAGTTAACAATAATACAGCCACTGCTATTTTAGCTATTGCTCATGATATAATTGACACAAAACCTGTTAATTGCTCTGATTTCTTGAAAACAGAGGACAACTAACTTAAATTTTCATAAAAAACTTCTAAATAAATTTTTTATATTGAAGATACTGTTTTATTATACCTCTTCTTTTTTTATTTTGCAAATTCGAGTTCACTTTTTTGGAAAAAAGTATGTGCACACGTAGCAACTTATGTGCGCAATTATTTACTTGCATGCATCTTTAATATGCATGTAAAAAATGTCATTACATATCTTATATTTTATAAATAACCGCTTAAAAATATACTTAATTTTTCAATGTTTATGTAGTGTTGCAAATGTACTTGTTTATTTACGAGTAGAAAATTAATGTAATAAAATCCTCGCTCCGATAGTGTGTTGCCTTAATAAATAATTTTCATTCTTTGTGTTATACAGGGAGTGGTCAATACATTCCACGACCGGAAACTAGGCAATGCTTCCTTCGTAGTCTTAGCGAGTTGCGAAACTTGCGAGTTCTTGCCCTTGAGTATTCTCATATTGCGGATGGAAGCGGAAGTGCCCTCGTGTCTCTCCTCCCGATACTTAAACGCCCACATTTTAAATTGCAGGTAATAATTATAAGATTGTTACTGACTTTTAAATACGATCACTATATTCGGGGAAGGGAATTGTTAGTAATGTGGACTGATGACCCCTTTGCTAGCAATGTACCACGGCGGGTTGATCTCCACCTTTGGAAAACATCCTGATAAATTCCTGGTCAATTTACCACGATGGGTAAATTGACCAGGAATTTGTCAGGATGTCTGACCTGACTTCATTTTCTTTTTACCTTCTCATCCTCCAGTTACGCCAACGTATAAAACCATAGCACAGGCAAATACACTATACCATTCTCATTCTTAAATAAAATCAATGTACTTTAGTGAGGTAGAAGCAAAACATTGTTCATATCATAGGATTGAAGAAGTCGTTTGTTCCATTCAAGTTACTTTAGAGGACGATCAGATAAAAAGTTACCACCACGAGGAATTGTACCAAATATTTCTTCATTTACATATTTCAATATTGTTAAATTCTTTCATATATTTGTGTAAATGTCGTTTCCACTAATATTCATTAACAAACAAGATATACCTAAGAAACAACCACGATAGTTTTTTAATAGTTTAATAAGTGAATACTTTTTTACGCCGGCATGGCACCAGTGGAAGGTAATATGTTCAAATTCAAATTAATAAATAATTTATTATTTAAATTATTCATATAGGCTACTTATGAACGAAAGTCCGCTGTATTTTGCAGTGTTGCAATATGAATAAACCTGTAGCTTAAAGTTTTCTATGAATATTTAATTCATGTGGGCTTTCTGTATGTAATTTTTAAGACGTTACTCAGTTATTGTAAATTGTTTTTTATATTGCAGTTGGCCGGCGGTTAGTGCAAACTATGAGTGTTGGTGCATCGCGTTCTTTTTACCTTTATTTATTTTTGTTTTATATAGTGTAATAATATTATTTTTATTTTATTAAGTATTTATATATATATATATATACATATATTTCTAATTTATTTACATTTACATATTTTAATGTCTGACAATGAATCCTTTTACTCGGCCCACAGTTCTAATGAATCTTTTGAGTCTCTTGATATGTCCCTGTTAGATGCATCTCTTTCTACAAATATTTGCAATGAATTAGTAAACACACACCGTAATCTAAACATTTGTCATATTAATGCTCAAAGTTTACCCCAACATCATAGTGAATTGATGAATACCTTTAATATGAATACTGTCGACGCGATCTTGGTTTCTGAAACGTGGTTAAAACCCTCTGTGATGTCCACTTCTATTAGTTTACCGGGGTATTTCCTTATACGGAACGATCGTATTGACAGGCGAGGTGGAGGGGTTGCTATTTACTTACGCAGTGGCTTCCCTTATAAAACTTTAGCTACCTCTGCCGCGCCCGGTGGTGCTGAATATTTATTCGTGGTGGTTGATGTTAGGGGAAGTAAGATTGTTCTCGGTGTTATATATTGTCCTCCTTCCACTGATTACTTCCATGACGTTGAGTCTATTTTCGAGAACATTATGGCGGAGCACGCACATCATGTTATCATGGGTGACTTTAACACTGATTTGCTCAAAGACACTCACAGATCTCGTAAGCTACGCGATATTGTGCAGTCGGTGGGCCTTTCAGTGTTACCCCTTAGTGCTACCCACACTAACAATGACTCCCATGACACCTGGCTTGATCATATTTTTGTGTCCTCACCTGAGTTCATATTAAAACATGGTCAATTTCCTGCTCCTGGATTCTCCAGACACGATCTCATTTATATCTCCTACAACATAAAAACCTTCAAGCCCAAGCCTACCGTCGTTCGTCTGCGTAGTTTTGCTAAAGTTGACACGTCTGTTTTAGGGAAGGAAGTTACTGATTTAGATTGGTCATGCGTGCTGTCCGCCTCTTCAACAAACGATAAGGTGTTCGTTTTTAACCAATATATACTCCAAATCTTTGACAAGCATGCTCCGGTTCACCTTGTCAGAGCTAAAAAACAGCCAGCTCCCTGGATAACTACGGGAGTGCGCATGGCTTTGAGAAAGCGTAATCGTGCATTTAGAGTTTACAAAAGGGATCGTTGTGAAGAGAACTGGAGGGCTTTCAAAATTGCGCGCAATCGTTGCAACTATATGGTAAGAGCTGCTAAACGCCGTCATATCCACTTGAACATTCTAAATACCTCTTCGGCCAATACCTGGAAGTTTCTAAAGTCACTTGGGCTGTGCAAACAGTCTGATGATTTTTCCTCATCTATCTCATTAAATGACCTAAATAGGCACTTTTCCTCAGTTCCCACATTGAATGATTTTCAGAAATCTATCTCTTTAGCTGAAATAACTTCATGGCCTAAACGTCCTATTGATGAATTTTTATTTTCGCCAGTTACTGATGATGAAGTCCACAAGATAATCTCCTCAATTAAATCCAATTGTATCGGTTTTGATGATGTGAGTAGGATTATGATTATTCTCTTATTCGAACATTTGTTACCTATCATTACTCACATCATCAATTCTTCTCTACATTCCTCCGAATTTCCTACATCCTGGCTTAAAGCATTTGTGCTTCCCCTTCCTAAAGTTTCCTCCCCACAACTCCCTAAGGACTTTAGACCTATTTCAATCCTGCCCTTCCTCTCAAAAATTTTAGAAGCTGTTGTCCACAAACAATTATCTGCTTTTGTATTGACTAACAAACTGTTGAGTCCTTACCAATCAGGTTTTCGTCCTGGACACAGCACTACTACTGCTCTACTGAAAATCACCGAGGATGTGAGGGAGGGCATGGAACAATCCAAACTAACTGTTCTGGTCTTGGTTGATTTTTCCAACGCATTTAACACGGTTGATCACGACATCCTACTCGCCATCCTTGCACATCTTGGGATTTCATCATCAGTCGTGAAATGGTTTGCCTCTTATCTTCGTGGTCGTCAGCAAGCAGTCCGTGTAAACCAGTCTTTTTCTGACTGGTGTGAGCTTGTCGCTGGCATTCCGCAAGGCGGAATTTTGTCTCCTTTACTTTTTTCTATCTTTATTGATTTTATCACTACAAATCTCAAATGCTCTTACCATCTATATGCGGATGATCTTCAGGTATACTCTCAAGCTGTAGCTTCTGAGGTTGGTGAGGCCATCGATCATCTGAATATTGATCTCGATCATATTCTCAAATGGTCCAAAAAGTTTGGTGTTTCTATTAATCCTTCCAAGTGTCAGGCTATAATCCTTGGAAGCAAACAACAACTTAGCAAAATTGAGTTTGGCACTTTGCCTCCAGTTCTCTTCGGCAATCAAACTATTACCTACTGTGCGCATGTTAAAAATCTCGGCTTGTTGATGGACAGTACTCTTAGCTGGAACAAACATGTTAACGAGATCAGTCGTAAAACTACAGTGACACTACGTAACTTATACAGGCTTAAAAATTTCCTCCCCATAAGTACCAAAATCCTGCTTATCCAATCCTTAGTCCTTCCCACCATTGATTACGCCGATGTGTGTTGCTCTGACATGAATGTAGATCTTTTAAACAAATTGGATCGTCTTATCAACAACTCTATCCGGTTTATTTTTAATCTCCGCAAATTCGATCATATCTCTTCTTATCGTTCTCAGCTTAAATGGCTACCTATCCGCTATCGTAGGAATGTCCGTATGCTTTGTACTCTCTATTCCATTCTATACGATCCAAATTCTCCTGATTATATTAAGAATAAATTTCATTTCCATGGGGACAACACCAATCACTGTATTCGTACATCCAGAAAATTTTTACTTCATATCCCGGCTCATTTGTCCGGTTTCGTCCACTATTCTTTCGCCATTCAGGCAATCAAACTTTGGAATGACTTACCTCTTGATATCAAAACTGCTACGAATAAATTTTCTTTTAAACGTAAACTACGGGAATATTATTTGAATTTATAACTTTCTCTCTTCTCTGAATTCACTTTTTTTCCATTTAACTCTCTTTAGTTCTGTGACTGTCAGATTATTTGGTATATATTTAAGTTTATTGCATATATATGTGTGTATTTGTGTATATAGGTATCATATTTGTATATATTTATGTTATATATTATTGTATCTCTTAAGTATATATATATATATTGTATATATATTTATATTTTGTTGCATTTTGTTTATGTTTATAATTTTGCACCGCCAACAATTATTCTCTGCACCACCAATGGTTGACTGGTAGAAAATGCCGCATGGTGTTAAGTCCGCCAAATGTACTATACTATATTTTATATTGTGTGCATTAAAGTTAAGTAAATAAATAAATAAATAAACCACCAGAGACGACTGCGTGGAGGTCAATCTGACGCGGTACATGAATGAAACGACTAGTCCCTACTACTTCTAATGCACACATCCTTCCATTGCACAAGTGTTTATTGTAATGTTTCAGTTGATATGCCGCGAAGACCACATTCCTGGTCAAGTTGACGTTGCACTCGGGTGTGGCGGGTGTGACATCCCAGACACAGCTTGGAAACGTATCACCATCGCATGTCCCAACCTCTTCTTATTTATGGCATTTTGTAAGTCGTTTAATAGTAAATTCATATTTATATGTTCATATATAACGTTCGTGTATACTACAAAATATATATAATGTCGTAGTGAAAAAAAATATGTAATGTATCAAATAGTTTCATACATACATACTGTAAAAATTCAAAAACAACAGAAATAATAGCATAAATAATACCAACTTGTAGTAGGTAATTTCGATTTTGATATAATACTATAAAGTTGGTTAGTGTGGATCATGATGGAGCACTTATTGTGTGATAGTGTGATATTATAAAAATAAAAAAGCCCTTAATTCTTTTGTCTACAACCTTATTATATATTTATTCATATCAGCAATAAGGTTGCCTCTTGTAGGCCTTCCCTAAACCTTTCCAGACCCGCTCCTGCGCCTTCTTCATCCAGTCAGCTCCAACTTACTGTGTAAAGACATCCCTCCATCGTCTCTTAGGTTATCTTTCCCTTAGTTTGTGTTCGAGTATTCACTCTATTACACGTTTAGTCCATCAATAGATGGACTAAACGTGTAATAGAGTTTAATAATGTTACTGTTTGTTTGTTGTTTAAAGGTACACTATTCGTAACGACGTCATTACTTATTACTAACAATATTCAGACCAAGGATATGTTAGCAAATTGTTATTACACTAGTAAGTGGGTATAACGACATTGTACGAACGATAGTTTTAATGGTTCATGTGGCTACTCGTATATAGGTGTCGTTACCAGTTACCATCAGAGGTAGCCAGTTGTTTGCCATTCCAATTAAAATATGTACCTACATACATACTGTTTATATATATTTATATTTTTTATTATTATTTAGGTTATCAAATACTGAAACATTTTTTTTATACATAATACCCATAGATTAAACTTAAATTTTTCAAAAAGATAACAATTGATGATTATGCGCCGTTTATACCTACCTACTATAAGAAAGAGCGCGGGTTGGGATCAATAATATGTGCGTAGCTAATAAATTAGTATCCTTAGTTAGTAGGTTTATCTACCTACAATATAATCCTTATTTGTTTCTTACACATTCAATTAGGTCTAATATATTTTTTTATTTTAGATTTAATTTAATACAGTCTCATCTCTTTAATCGGCATATCGTTTTAACCAACATATTACTTAGCAATATTTAACAATAACACTATAGGAATTTTATAATATCTAACAAAAAATCCGTAAACCACAGTGTATACCAAATGTACCTATCTACTGTATCAATAAATATCATCATATAAAAACCTTTAATATTTATAGATAAACATGATATCAATGTACTATATACAGTTCGTGTACGCGACTATGATAACGTACGACGTTTTTTGACTCCAAGTATGCCCTTACGCGAAGTGCATCTCCAGTTGGGCATTGATCTCAAGATGGAACAGAGACAAGATTCAGATGTTAGTTGCTTCGTTCGCTACTTAGGCTTCCATTACAGCAGTACACTGGGTAAGATATTTATAATATCCGTTTGTTGTGGTTCTAATTGTATTACGGTCACTATTTTAGTACCGTAGGCCGCAGATAGTGTTCACAGGTGTTGTAGCTTCACCGGTTGAAATTAGAGCCTGTGTAGAAGGCACTCCAAACCCAACTTGCGGAGGATTTTTTTAAAGGATGAATGAACTATTTGCCTGAATGTTTTTCGAATTTTTTGATTGAAATTCGCATGAATACGCTGGCGGGGTACCAGTGCACGGTGATTAGATGAGTATGAGGTCAGGTCAGTTAGCCTATTGAGTTAAATTCACCAGAAATTTATCACGATGGTTTCCATGGGGAACCGCGAGGAAGTTGACCTGACATAGCATATTGCCAGCAATGGGATTATTATTCTACATTACTAAGAATCCCTTCCCCCTTCCTAACAATCCGACCCCCCCGCCCTCCAAAACTTTATTTATGTATAGTGTGGGTTACCTTTTTAACTAACGACTTACGCGGGCGGAGCAGCAATCTCCGCTGGTGATAAAATGAGCATGAGGTCAGTTCAGTTAACCGATCGAAATAAATCCATCAGGGAATTGGTCTCCTAGGGCACCACGTGGAGGTTAACCTGACATGATAAATTGCTAGCAACGAGGCTACTAGTTTTCACTACATAATCCATTTCTCGCCTGTGGGTTACGCATTCGCCTATGTTACGCTTTCATATATAAGTACAAAGTGTTTTTATTACTGCGTATAGGGTTTCCCTACAGTAAAGTGGCTTAAAGTCATCTGGTAAAGTAAATATTAAAAGAAAAATACTTATTCTAATTTAGTTTTTAATTAAAGGGAATGCTGTCGGCTGTCTAAGTATATAGGTATATAGATACGGTGGCACTTACTTACCTCATACATTTTGAATGTATTTATTTGTCTGTAACTTTTGGAATTTTTTGTTGTATTTAATACTTATAGGCTAAACTAACTAACTTTCTTATATACGCGTATATCATCAAGTTTAATACTTTCTTTCAGTAACACTTAGTATTCACCAATGGAGGTTCGCGGCGTTCCCTTTGCGAAGAGTATTCGAATTATTTCCCAGATTGGTACGGTTTTTTTACACCGGCAAAGTAGAAGATGAGGTTGATTTGAGAAGAATGTTGCAAATTATTGCTTGCGGCGTATGCGACAGTTAGTTCCTGCCACATAATTCATGATATATATGCCTAGGTTACGTTACTTGCAACAAACGTGCACGACCTTTTCTTTGTTGATGATGTTAATAAGCTATTTAGAATGGTACTAACGCCATTTGTTACAAATATACTTGATTTATTTATTAAAATTTATGTTAAGGCGACGAATGTAAATGAATGTTGCTATTAAAAAATGGGGGTTGATGGTAGAAGCATGAAAATTTAGGGTAGTATTTTTAATACCGAATCATAAAAATATTAAAATAAGAAATATTGTCATGAATAAAAAAGAAACAATTTTTGGAGACCACCCTCATCACTAACATGTATGGAAAATAGTTTACGTACTATTTTCTGACCTACTGGTAGTAAACACAAAATTAAAAAGAATCTGATAAGCCATTTCGTAGTTCTGTTGCAAACACTGTTACATGAGAATTTTATATATAATATTTGACGACCTCGGTGGTCTAGCGGTCTAGTCTACCGCTTTACGACCGATGGTCGCGGGTTCGATTCCTCGCACGGCACAAACATTTGTATTCACGAGTATGATTGTTTGTATCGGTCTGGGTATTTTCTATGTATAATATGTATGTATTTACGAAAAAAAAAATATCTATGTATTTGTATCAGTTGTCTAGGACCCATAACACAAGCTTTAGCTAGCTTAACTTGGGTCTAGATGGCGCTGTGTGAATTGTCCTGAGATTATTATTATTATTATTATTATATATTAGACTAGCTGTTGTGTTGTTGTGTAGCTATTACACGCGACTTCTTCCGCGTGTATATTTTTTTATATTATATGGCTAGGCTTAGTTACTTCTTACAACATAAACTATCTGTGAGTCGCGCCAATCGGCGCGATCGGATCGGAAATCGGTTTTAGGCATTAGCAAGAACAGACAGACAGAGTAAAATTTTGATAGTTATCATTTTGATGTAAGTATCGTATACTTTCATAGGCATTTAGTTAGAGGCTGTTAATTTAAAATTACAAACAAACACTTCTATATATTTATTTGTATAGATTAGTTAAAGTTACCGACCGTATTTAACATGTAGGTCTTTTAATATGGGTACTGAAAATGTTATTATTTTTTATTACAGAATTAAATCAAATAAATATTCAGGTGCAAGATGAAGAATCTAAAAGATCTTACTGGAAGAAGGCAGTTAATTCGATTAATAAAGATTTTGCGGGAGTAATGAAGCTTTGTGAAATTAATTTTTGTATATTGACATATAAAATTTAAATTACATTATTAGGTACTTGTTTAATTTATAGTTAAACTAAGCTTCTTTTAAGTCTTATAAGTCAAATCGCTTAAAACACTGATTTGTTCTAGATGTACCTAATGAAATAAGGTAATTAGGAATAAATTAGTATTTATAACGTGAATTGAATTGCCCACTAATTATTATTTATAGACATTCTTTAATAATCTTTTTAGCAATATGCTGTGTATTACTTTATTTGTAATTTCATAATTGAGTCCATAATATAGATTTTTCCCTCAGAAAAAAGAATCATTCTGTACTGGTATGCAGACTCGTTTCTCCTTCAATAGATATCATCATAATCATTCTCATCTCCAAATGTCCACGCCACCATAATTTAAGGCCGTGTTGTTGTTTTATTTTTATATTTCGACGAAAATGGTAAACGGACATTTAAATTTTGATTACGGACACAACAGTTTCGTTCGGACATTATACTTAAATATTATATTATTGTGTAACTAGAGAACCACTCAGGCTTCGCCGCAAAGAGTGGAGTATATATTAAGTGTTGCTTCTATAATAAACTAAACGACAGGTGACGGTCAAGCGCAGCCGAGGGTGTATTTATTTCCTTGGCAAAATTTTATATCTAATTAGAATGCATATGCCGGGTCACTTACCAAGTGGCAACTGTCACCTCCTTTAAAACGCAAATACTGTCAAGAATTATTCCTACCTCCTGCAGGCGCTAAGCTATAAGATGTGTATTTTGTCTACCAGCATTTCGGTCTCGGCAGTCATGTACTAAAATTTAGAAGAGTTGTGCACCAAAAATATTCTCTTATATCAAGCATCGATTTGTTTATCGTCATCGTATATGCTTGATATGGTTTTAGATCTATACCATAAACAGTATTCGGGATAATCTTGAGCACTACTTATGGGCTTTAAGTTATAATATCTAATAATAATAAAGACATTTATTCAACATTACAATATTCTTAGATGGTATCTATCTTATATACTATACAACTTAAACAAAAGCTAAAATATGCTAATAACGCTGAATGTGACTCAGCATTTATACTGTAGTATATATATACCACAGCGCTGATTTTCAGTGGGGCCACCACACACGAGACAGCGTACGTAAAGATAACAAAAGAAAATAAAACGTTAAAATTAAGACCATTTTATAAATAGGTATTAAAATGTATGTAAAGATAAATGCAATTTTAATTAATGTATGTAGTAATTTTTGTATAATATTTAAGTAGGTATATTGTTATAATAAAATTTATTAATAATATTTAAATATATAATGTACATAAATGGTGTAGTTGGTATATGTTTTTGATGCTTATTACATTGTGTTCACTGCTACAATGATTTTTGTTCTTTAAAAAGTTGAGTGAATAATTTATGTTTGAAAGAACCAACTGTCACTTAATTAAGGATAGGAGGAGGCAGATTATTCTAGCACTTCCAGCACTTCATATTAAAGTAACATTTGAATGCAAGGGAATAAGAGATCAAAACCATATATATAATATTTCTATTGATTATTTACCTGTAGCTAGCCTGTCATATATTTTTTTTATTTATTTATTTACTTAATACAGAAAACATGTGTACTAATTTACTAAAGAAACGATGATATTCACAGAAGTATAAAACTGTGTTGCGAATATCGACGCCCTCCACCTAGTATATATAATTCCAAAAACTAAAATAAAAAATATAAAAATACATGCAATGTCGTTACCCATCACGTATTGTCTAAAAAATTTACAAAATATTTAAATTTACCAAAAACAAAGAAAATTTAACTTATAAACAAAAAGAAAGAATGCACAAAACAAAAAGAACCTATGCCTGTATTTGATATGTATATGTGTAAGCATTATGCCTATGTGTGTATTTGTATGTGTGTGTGTGTGTGTGTGTGTATGTGAGAGAGAGAGGGAGGTCTACGATTACTATACATTATTTTTGAAATTACAATATTTACGCAACAAGTCAAGTTAATAAAGTTTTAAAAGATCCTCAGATTTTTCATACGATAAGTTTTGAAGCCATTTTGCACACAACAGCTTACATTTGTAGTAGTATAGGGGATATATGATCAATTCTTTATTTAGCTTATTATACAAAATAGAACTTACGTGGTTATAATGACGACTAGCTATTGCAGTACGACAAGGATTTAATTTACATATTTTATAAGTTCTACATCTCAAATTTGTATCATTTGAAACATATGGAACATATGGAAGCTGAGAATTTTTACGAAGCGTAATGTTTAGTACAAATAGTTGACGGACCGTTAAGACCTGACAAATTGAATACAAATCTTCAGTTGGAAACAGAATTGGTTTTTTTGTCATTACCTTCAATACAGATCTTTGTGCTCGTTCAAGTCTCAACAATATAGTTTTAACTGCTCCTCCCCAGGAGGTAATACAGTATGTAATAATTGACTGTACTAGTGCATAGTATACAGTTTTAAGGCAATTAAAGTCAACGACACTTCTCAAGTTCTTAAAAACATATATCAATTTCCTTACGCGGGACACAGTTGCATCAATATGCTGTTTCCATGTTATTGAATAGTCAAGTGTAACACCAAGGTACTTAAGGGAAGAAACGCGTTCTACTGATATGCACTTACACATTGTGGGATTTAATGTCGTACAAAAATGTGGGCGAATAGATAAAAACGAAGGTGGTTGGGTGGCGTGATTTATTGAAAATGGTATAAATTTTGTTTTTGCAATGTTAAGAGTAAGATAGTTTGATTGAAGCCAATTCATAACATTTTTTAAGGCATTTTCTGAATGTACTTTCCATCCAATTCTGTCCACCAACAAGGAGAACTGTATCGTCAGCATAGGTAATAGTTTTGCAATTTTGAATATTCATATTACAAAGATCATTAATGTAAATTAAAAATAAGGTAGGCCCAAGGACACTACCCTGTGGAACACCATAGCTGAGATATTCGTCACTGCTCTCGAAACCATCAATTCTTACAAATTGAGTACGATTATCAAGGTAACTTCGGAACATATCAAGAGACACGCCTCTAACACCAATAGATTCCAGTTTGTTAAGCAAAATGGGAATAGAGACAGTATCAAAAGCCTTAGGGAGATCCAGAAAGATACCAATTGTTTTTTTCTTATTGTCAAACTTTTTAATAACATAATCGGTAAGTTCAAGAACAGCATCTTCCGTTGATTTATTATTTCTAAAGCCGAATTGATTATCTGATAGTATATTACGACTATTGATAAATTTGATTAGTCTACTATTTAGAATTTTTTCAAAAATCTTCGCAAATACAGAAAGCACAGAAATAGGTCTATAATTTGAGATACTATCTCTATCCCCACCTTTAAAAACTGGATGTACTACTGCTTTTTTAAAGACATTAGGGAAAATACCCAAATTGAGAGCACAATTAAATACGTAGGTCAGTATAGGTATCAGTATATGGCTCGCAGATTTAATTACTGACTTGGAGATACCATCCCATCCAACAGCACAGTTACATCTTAAATTGGTAATTATATTTTCAACCTCCCTATCGTCCACAGAAAAAAGTGCCATAGAGTTAGCTGAGAATTGACTAGTTGAGTCAGGGATATATTGTAAGTTCGTATTATGTTGAGCGTTTATACTGCCGTCTAACTGAGACTGAATAGCGGATGCTAGATTTTTACCAACATTAGCGAAAAACTTATTAACAATATTAATAGAAGACATGGGATTATTACTAATTTTTAATAATGAACCAGCATCAGTTTTTGTTTTTTGAAGATTTGCTATTCGCTTGATAACATTCCACGTCTTTTTGGGATTTCCTTTAGCTTTTGTGATCTCACTTTCCTCAAATTCCTTTTTAATCCTTTTCAAAAGATTGTTACAAAAGGTACGATATCTAATATATATAATTTTATGTATATCATTATTTGGCTCTTTTTTTGATTTTTGGTACAATTTATCTCTATGACGTATACATTTCAGAAGACCTGGAGTGATCCAGGGCTTAATAATGCGTTTTCTACTAGGAATTTTTATACTGCTACTATGAACTGCAACGATATTGGATATCAGTTCAACGAAAAGATTCGCAGACATCTCGGGATCACTGGAATTGAGAACTGATGTAAAGTCTGTACTTTCTATTTCGTTTACGACTGCCGAAATATTACATTTTTGAGTGAAACGTTTTGCAGAGATTGAGTATAAATTTGTATTGCAACATAATAAAATAGGAGCATGGTCTGTTATTAGAGAGTCAAGAACAAAAGTAGATACATAATTAGAAGAACGTAAGATGACATGATCCAAACAACTGTTTTCTCTTGTTGGCAAAGTGTAAGCTGGGAGCATACCATGCGTCGCTATCATATTGAGATATTCATCAGAATTCGGGTCATTATTTGTGGAAGATATATTAATGTTTATATCTCCAATAATAACACTAGTTTTATAGCTTGTGATGGTGTTGAGTGCACTATTAAGACTTTCGTAAAATGGTTTTAAATTTGTATAGGAAGGGGAACGGTATACTGCTACAATGGCAACATCATTGGTAAACTTTACGATTATGCAATTTGCATCATGAAACTCGGAGACATCCACTGTACATTCGAGACCATTTCTAATATAAGCGACGACACCATCATTTTGTTTTTTATAATTAGATGTAAAAGATTCAAATCCAGGAAGAATAGGAATGAAGGGTGTTTTCCTTAACCAGCATTCGGTTAGAATTATAATATCAATGTTTATTTTTATGCTATAAAGCAGTGTTAAAAGGTTACTAAAATTGCAATTTATGCTCCGAATATTAACATGAAAAATATTAAAGGTATTATTAGATTTTAAATGCACGGGTATGTCCTCAGGGGAACAAGATAGCGAATCCGACACAGATATCTGTTCAATATCATTATTAATTTGGTACGAATTATTCATAATTGATTATAGAGGAGAGTAAACAGGGGATTTAATACGCAGAGCAAACACAACGATATAAAATGGTATAAAATGATTACCCTAGCACGATATAGCACGAAACAGGTTTTAATATCTTTTGGCAATGAAGATCTATTATGTTGAGTAATATTGTAGTATGTATTTTGTGTATTTATGTGTATAAGTGTTGTGAATAAACGAGTATGATTGTGGACAAGGTAACAATATACATTTTCAAGAAGAAGATAGATGAGAACTATAAAATGAACAATACAATAAAAAACTTTAAAGAACATGATCACTACAGGCACTGACACAAAGATCGTATTCGCCACTCCAATAAATAGTCATATTGACGCGCAAATTTTCTCAAGAACAGAGTCGTCAGTTACTCGAATCACAGCGCCATTTTCTCTTTTGCGTAGATAAATTTTTCCATGAGACACCCAACAGTACTTATAATCATGGTTTTTTGCGAATTCTCTGGCCGAATAAAACAATTTCTTCATTTTAGACGTTAGATTTTCCGAGATAAAAATTGGACGTGGTGTTCCATTTATGTGAATTTATTCTGTGGTTAGTTTAGAGTTACCTCTATTATATTTGCGGTACATTGATATTATCCTTTCTTTGAGTAAAGAGCTGGTAAGGTCCACTATAATTGTCTTCCCTTTATTTGCTTGCTCATTAGTTTTGATGCGGAATATATCCTTTACTTCGCTATTCTGGACTGGTGCATTTATAACATTGCAGGTTTTAACAAATGTCTCAACAGGGTCGCTTTTAGTTTCAGAAGACAATACTGGAATATTCCTAATTTCCAGGCAGGTTGATCTGCTGTTACGTTCTAAATTTTCGATTTTATCTTCCAAAGTTCTCATATATTGAACATCCGCTTTAGGATCCGATTCCAACTTATCCACTTTCGACTGACGCGAGTCGTATTTATGAGCTAGGAAGTCCACTGAATTCCGAATATCCTCAACAATGGAACACAATCGCTCACTCCTCCTATTTTGATCCTCCTTAAACTTCGTAAACATTTGTTGCATTTCTGTCATAAATGTATTTAATTTATCATCATCATAGAGTGAATGTTTTCGTTTTCGAGCAGTATTAGTAAATTTAACCTCATTTAAATTTGGTTCAGAAGAGGAGCTATGAAGTTGTTCAGAAGGAGACAACCTTAAAGTTACGTTCGAGGTAGAAGAAGAATGATCTCTTAAAAAAACAGTGGTTACCTCTGGTTCTAGTGGAGTATTGTGTTGAGGCATAGGTGAAGGCGGTGGTGTACGCTTAAGCGGCATTGCTACGTGACAATTCTAGCTATTTAGCAATTAAAGGTACTTCTGTGGTGTAAAAGAAAATATATATATATATTCCACCCAGCAAAATATCGATATTATTTAATGTAATGTACAAAAATGAATGTGTACATCAAAAAAAAAAAAAAAAACTTAAGTACACGTTTTGTAGCGATCTTCAGTCATTCGTTTAGAATTCCGGCGGCTATACGCTACACCAATAAGCTTCTGACGTAATGAAGTGAATCAACGTGTAATATCTACATGCGCTGCATTTGTAGCTCAACAACGAACTGCAGTGTAAGTCCAAAGTCCAGCCCACTGTATTTGTTGATAGAATAAACGGGTATATTGGTTATAACTTGCTTTCTTCGTATCATTTATGTATATTTATTAGCACTCACAATTTATATTTCTTGATGAACTGTAATGCGTATAATAGATTTCACTTTATTCCTGAATTTAATATGAAAATAAGGTCAAATTAATAACTTTTGGTATAGATTTTTAATTATAAATATGGAGCTAACTGAAACACGTCTTATTGTAACGACGGTCGGGCGGCGGGGATTGATATTAGTAATTTCCATCTGAATTCATACATTTAAGTAATTTATTGTGTTTCAGTTGGTGTTTATGGTTTATTGTTTTCTTCAGAAGATGTTGTAGCTCCTTCCAAATATTCAAATTTATTATCTGCTATCCATGATGGTATCTAAAAAGGTTACATCTCAATATTAAAATGTAGCATAACCAAAATTATTAAATTTTATTTAATATAGTTATACCTTACCTGCTCCTCACTCATCCATTGATTGAACTTAAGATTGGATTCTAGCCATTTATTCTTTGCAAAAATAGGTCCCATGTCATCTGTCAAATGTCTGATTATTGTTTTAAGCAGTAAATGACCTTGTTTTGCAGATTTAATACTTTTAGAAATCATAAGTACTTGAAAAAGTGTAATGTGCTGTAAGAAAATTCCTTCCATTGACCATAAAAGCAGAATATAAAAATTATCACATTACAAACCCGCTTAAATAGTGCCAAATTAGGCCTCCAAATTAGGTATTACATAATTATCCTACTACCTGTATACTCTTTTCAGATATAATAAGTTTATTGGAACATTAGAAACTATTGGAGTAAAATTTTAATTCTAAATGAAAAGCATAAAAATATTTCAACATGTTGTGTTGTGACACAATGTTAGCGTAGCTGCGAATTCAGTTTAATAACAGAAGTCATACTTCTGTTATTAAACTGAATTCGCAGCCTCAAATTCAGAATACACAATGCGACTTAACATATTACGCCGACCCCAAATAATTGGAATAAGGAAGAAGCAGATGATGATGACACAATGTGATTTAAACAGTTTGATATAGAGTCACTATAAGTTACTTCATTTAAAAAAATGAGGCGTGAGAGGTATATTCTCCATTCTTCTATTGTAAATGCCGCGGAGTTAAGACTTTGACGAGCCAATATTTTGAAGATATAAATGTACTAGGAGATATAAGAAAACTTAAATAACAAATAAGTGAATATACATACCCTCTTTTCAATATGCGGCGCAATGATTACTCCTAAATATTCATATATCATGGGTATATCAATATACAAATCAGGCGCAAAGTCTAAAATGTCTGCTATGCCCAATTCAAAATTAACTGATAATATAGTATTTGTGGAAACTAAATGTAAGAGGAACTTCGCAATCGTGTTTATTTTCTTCTGAAATCTGAAATGTATTTAATACTATTACCAAATAAATAAATGTTAACTATCGTGTGACGCACCATTACTTAAAAATGGTAAAGTCATTAATCATGTAACCTGAAACGGAACGTCAGAGGCCAGAGCCAAAGTAATCTATGTGATATTGACAAGTGGATGACGGATAATTGAACGTAAGCAGCGGGAGTTTTGGAGCGAAAGTGTTTATATTATTATAAAAACAAATAAGAGATAGGTAATTGTGAATATTGGAGGCATTGAGGTGTTTCTCTCCCTGACTAACCGGCATTACGCCTAAGTCGTCAGGATACTAGTGATTTTAAAAGTTCAGAAGCGGTACCAATCCCGCCTACAAATTCGACCGTAAGGTAATTCTGACTAGAAGTTGTGGTAAGTGAGTTTACGTTAATAACACGCATACCATTAAACGCAGTATCTCACTTGTTTTATTGAACTTTTGGATGAATTGCTTTCTACATATTAAATAGATTTAGTATGTACGATAACTTGCGAGAGTAATGACATGACATGTAGCACGATATTGAGGTATACAATATACCTAAGAAAGAAGTATTATGAATACATTAAGTATAAAACAACATGGATATCTAATTAGTTTAAAATACAGAGTAACTATTGTTATGTTATTAATGCCTATGATAGAGTATGATAGGATATCAACAGATTAGAAACAGTTACATTAACTATGTTGACATACAGGTTGAACATGAGAACACATACCATGTTATACATATAAACAGTGTAATGGTATTGCTGAGTTTGTTGCTAATTCACAGTAAATTAGTCAAACTTACTGTTCAGTTTAGTGTGTTTGTTCTACATGAATTGAATTGAAGAATTGTTATTATTTCTTTACATAGGTACACATATATGTTTGATGATCCCATTTCAGATAAATGACAATCACAGGCATAGTCCAGGTATATGTCTTGATTGTGGTTATATTCCCAAATTGAGATACTGTCATATATATATTATATTGGTTGATACTTTGATATGTGTTTATTAATTGAATTAATAAAGCATATTAATATAGATAGACACAGTATATTAATGACATAAACTGATACAAGCTACATAACATGTTATATTTCATAATATTACATATTAAAGACATTTTAGATGCTATCTCATGATTAGCTGTGAAGCTCTCAGTGAAAATAGTACTTAACTTTGATGGTACAATTATTATATTTATTTCTTGCTGTGTTTTGAATTTTATATATATAGCAATGGCTAACAATTGGTAGTAAACTCCAATGTTAAAAACCAAATAACTGTAAACTATTATTATTAATAGTTCCTTATTTAATTATTAATTAGTATAAAATCCAATTGAGATCTATTAGGATCCTCAAGGTTATCATAATCATATGATATTGATTATTAATGTGTTGAAAAAGCACCTAGAGATGATATCCAATTCCTCAAAGGTATGCTGGAATTATATATTATATGTATGCTTATATTGAATGTATTATATGTTTGAGCAATTGGTTCACTTCTTTGATGCTTCTCTTGAAATTCATTAGAATGGCCCTTAGCAGCCATTGTTGATCAATAAAGGTACTTAAAGGTCCTGTGCAGGTACCTGTAGCTATGTACATTTGTCATTTGAGACAATGTTTAGTAAGTGATTGTTGGAATTTTGAAACCCAATTAATATGTGACATGTTAGAAAGTGATAGATTACAGGTAGGACTATTCTTACATGGTTCAGTTTTGTAAACTATGAAGTTGTCTTTTAACCTAAAGAAAGGCTTTTGGTAAAGCCAGAAATGGATGTTGTTGGGTCTTGATTGTACAAAAGACCTGTTGACTTTAGTTTAGTTTTATAATTTATGAAGTTGTCTTTTAACCTAAAGAAAGCTTTTGGTAAAGCCAGAAATGAATGTTGTTGGCTCTTGATTGTATTATTGATTGTACAAGAAACCTGTTGAATTTTCTAAACAATACTTGAGCAACAAGTTTGTCTTTAAATTTACTATTAGTGTTATGAATATGAATAAAAGTTTTTGGAAATAAGTTAATATTTGTGTACATACAGAATGTTTGGATATATATATTGAGTCGCAACAGTGAGAGTATTTGCCTTTTGATGAGTTATAACTCTCCATACAGTAAATTGCACAAAATGTCATGATTTTATAATATGAATATGTACAACATAAGACAATTGTTATCACAATAATGAAAATAGACTATTGTAATATATTGCAATGTATTGCTATATTGTCCAATCTTGTGTACTGCATAAGCTAATGAACTGAAGATTTGCTGCAAGGATCTGAGCTTAAGTTATCCATTGAGTTTTATTATTTAGTGTCATTTGTAGAATGACAGTACTAAGAAACTATAAAGTGGACAGATTCATTGTTAAATCTGTATTGGAATTGAAATGTCAACCAAGGAGGAAATCATAATTGTTTAAATTCAAATTGTATTATATATTTGTGAAGTACAGATAATAAAAAAAAAAAATAGAATATATAGAATATATTATTGTATATTAATATATTAATAATTTAATATTAATTATTAATTAATAATAAATGTATATCAGAAAATGATAATAACTGATTAAAGGATTCATGAGTTAATAATGAACTCATCTGGAAGTTAGCACATGGATTGTGTCAAACAGTGTGGTCTAGAATTGTGAAATTTTGATAATAAACTTTATAATTCAGATATTATGGCAGGAAAATGGAAATAAATGAGAGCATAGCACTCTTTTGTTGTATATAGGTATGGACAGATGGGAGAGAATTAAGTGAATACATGTAAACTGTGATATGGTGAAATAGAGGAGAAAGGAAAAATTTGATACTATTTTTAAATGGTTTATGTAACTTACCTTTTATGTATTTGTATACTACAGGATTATAAAATATTTTATGATTTGACTAATGAAGTTTCTGTATATTATTTGGTTACTATTAAATAGTCTCTGTGGGAGGCAATGTTAAGATATTCAAAGTACATAAGCTTTAAAATTATTATAGAGGAAAATTATGAGACACAGACAGACAAGATTGTTAGGAAAGTAAAGAGATATGGATATTCTAGAAAACTTTGCTGATGACCTTGGTAATGTGGTTATTAATAGGCTGCATAACTTTCCATGCATGGAAATTCGTTCCCATTCTATACAACCGTTATATATTTATGAGAATTCCTGATTGTTGGTGTTTTATGCTATGCCTTTATAAGCATGTGGTTTGTTTTATTTAATATAACTTTGTTACCAAAGAGGATGAGACTGAAGTTAGTCAGTTTTATGAAGATAGCACTCCTATACTGTGCCACACTTCCAATTATCTTCTGTGAATCTACTGTACTGTAGAGGACAGTGCATGGCGATTTCGGTATAGCTATGACAGGAATATATAAAAAAGAAAAAAAAAGAAGAATAGGAAAAATCCTCAATATCTTGTGAACACAAGTTAATCACTGCAAATGTAAAGAAGACAAAAGACTGGATGCAAACTTCCATAGAGAGAGAGAGAGAGAGAGAGACGTGGATAGTCAGTATGGACGAGCTGGTTTATGAATATGGATACTGGCGCAATTTATGAGATTTTTATATGGTTTACTGATGGATAATAAACTACTTTATGAATAGCATATATGTAGAATGAAAAATAAATACTGCATGGTCTAAGTTGTAAGTTTTACATGTTATAGAGAAGTATTTGTTGAGAAAATGTTTGTGAGCTGAGCTATTGTTGTTTCATTATAATGGTATTATAGTGAATACAAATTTAAGAAGCACAGGTAGTTAAAAAAAAAAAACAAAAGGACAATTGATTGTTGTTAAATGTATGAGCATTAAAGTTTTGAAAAGTGTATATGGGTATACTAGATTTAAGTTGAAAGGATCCTATTGAACCTATAACTGTTTTAAGAGACCTTTATATCCAATGCAAATAAAATGAGAGAGAATATAAGTTGTGGAAGTAAGGCTATATCTGTCAATTTAATCCCAGGAATATATAAGAAAAGTTACTAGAGGATATAAATGAAAGTTAAGATATAAGAAAGTTAAATATTGTTAAGGATTACAGTTTACAGTTTTAAATTACTGTTGTAGATGGTTTTGTCAATTTTATTAATTTCTAGTTAACCTTAGTTAAATCTTGAGATATTGTATCTATTAAGAATTTAATTGATTAAAAAAAAAAAAGAATAATCGAAGCGTATAATGCTAAATTAACGAGCATGTAAGAATTGTTGGTATACATGTTGACTCAATTGACTTGAATATGAGATTGGATGTGTTGTATTTAGACCATTATAACTTTTGACATAATTGTTGAGTTGAAGTAAAATAACAGTGTTAACTAAGGCTTTTAATAGTGAACTCATCAACATATAAGAATTGATGTTGTCACTTGCATAGCATACGAGAACGGATGTATTAAATAAGTGAGGGTGTTTTAATGTTGAATTGTACAAAATTACAGGTG